TTTAAATTGATTGGACGTTTTTTACGTTAATTGAACGTTGAATGAATTTGTAAGTGTTTAAAATACGCCTTCAGGCATGGAATCACTGATGTGACATTACGATTGATTCAAGATCTAAAGCAATGAAAAAAAACTAAATTAAAAAAGACGTTACATAATCAGTTTGAAGGACTTTGTTTTCTCCATTTGTTATTGATCAAACTACTGATCAAATATAAATTAATTTTCACAGATGACAAAAACATCTTCTTCGAGCTGCCCCCCGGCGGGGAAGGCTTGCTGGCCAAGGGCGAGAAGCCGACGTTCGCTTGGAAGCGCGATGGCCAGCCCTTCGACCCTGAGGAGAGATTCAAGGTACGTACTTTTCATTACTGGACTATTCCCACCTCTCGTTCCCACCGCTGCAACTCCTGTGTAGCCAGGATCTACAGCTTGACTTTCTTGACTGACGATAAAGCCTGGTCCGTGAGCACGTAGAATTTTGTCCAATACCCCAAGCAACCCATCCTCATCGCTCGCGCGTAATTATATTGCTGTCGCGACTGTGCCACGGGCGCCCGCAGTGAGTGTGCGAGCGCGACAGCAACATAATTACGCGCGAGCAATAAGGATGGGTAGCTTGGGGTCATTGGACAAAATTCTACGTGCTCACGGACCAGGCTTTAGTACCAAGTAAATGTACAACATGTCGTTGTGGTGTCCAGGTGCTGCTCGGCGACGACGAGGACTCGCTGGCGCTGGTGTTCCAGCACGTGAAGCCGGAGGACGCGGGGCTGTACACGTGCGTGGCCAAGACCAGCACCGGCAACATCTCCTGCTCCGCCGAGCTCACCGTGCAAGGTATACTTGCAACCTTATTGACTTGTCTTAAGGTTTGAAATAAATATAGGTCCAGCGCTTAACTAAGATAGTGCCCGACATATGGGAGCGGCTCGTTTAGGGAGCTCACCGTGCAGGGTAACCAGTCCTGGATCTGTCAACAGGCCGTATAGGCCGCGGCCTAGGGGCGGCAGCGTCCTAGGGGCTGCAGATTTCAGATGACGCTTACTCGATTTCAGAAGATAAAAGTTAATTAAAGATCCAACCCCACCCTAGCCTACGGGCGACAAAACTGTAAATCCGTCACTGAGGGTAACCTAAACCTTATTGCATTGTTCTTAAAGTTCGAAATAACTATAGGTCCAGCGCTTAACTAAAACAGTGCCCGATATATGGGAGCGGCACGGAAGGGTGTTTTTGTGACGTCAAATGTCAGCGAGACCTCAGATTTTTATACTCTGTAACATCGTAATATGTCAACGCCACGCCTCTCGTCACACAAGCACAGTCTTTACATACTGACCTACACTCTACAACAGCATGTTTGCTCTGCAGTAACTAAATTCTGAGTGGAGTCGAATACAATACCCAAGTATATTCAGGATCATCAGATCAAGAAGCCGCACTTCTCTTTTCAATTTATCAGAGGAAAATGGCGGATTTAGCCTCCTCACACGCTGGCCAAATGAATTTGTGGGGACCTGACTGATGTTCATAATATTCTCCCTGAGTCGCCTAATACGACATCCACGGGAAAAATGAGAGTTTTCCTTTTCTACTTGCTATATACAGGGTGTCCCGTAATGTAACGTCAAGCCGGAACTGGGTGTTGAGGCAAGTTATGCTGGTTATCAGAAAAATATAAAAAAAAATCTATGTGGCATATTTTAAAAATAATAGGCATTTAAAAAAAATCAAAAAATTCTACTCCAGGTGACGGTCCTTTTACTCGTGTTGCCACAAATCTTCACTTTTTCCAAATTTTTTTTTTGTTATGTAACCCTGAATAATGCTTCTCTAAATTGTTATCAAAATTACAAAACCAGCTGCTCCAGCTTGGATGAAAAAAATACATTATTCCCAAAAAAAATTTCAAAATAAAAATTTTGCCTAGTTTAAACTGACTGTACTGAAAAAAAATTGTACTACGCGAGTGTGGCAAGTGACGTCATAATTTGGCGCATTTAGTAAGGATTCCAAAATGGTATAACACTTGGTAAATTCTTGCTGTAATTGTCGACAATTTTTGGTTTTTTGGAAATAATCCCGTTTTTAACTTTATCTACCTTGGTTAAAAATTATTATTCTAATGTGCCCAAAATTCAAGTTTCTGTGACTGACTACCGTACAGTCAGTCACAGAAACTTTTGTCACCATGACAGTAATTAGTAGTTGACATACTGTGACAAAAGTCACCCGTGCGTGCGCGCCGTTACTACCTGCTCTGCCTGCACTTGTACTTGGTAACAGGGATAATAAGGATATGAAGTTTCGGTTATGGATACGGTTACGGATATTAGAATAATATTATACCGGTTTCGGTTACGGTCACGGATATGAAATCATTTCAGATTATCCGAAAGTTTCGGATAATTTCGGTTACGGAATTATTAGAATTTCAAAAATGTAGGTATAATTCAAATAGCAAGATGCTGCGTGACCCACATAGCTACTTTATGTACCAACTAAGACGACACCTATGTATGATAAAGGTTAAACAGGCTGGCATATTAGATGGTGCCAGGGAATGCCAGACAAGTTGGTAACAAATATTAAGATTTAAGGTACAATTCCAAGACGGGCCGCAGACCGCAAACTGCAAAACTCTATGAAATCGGCAGCGCGGCATTGCCGCTGCGGCGTGTATACTGCAGATTTCATAGAGTTTTGCAGTTTGGAATAATTGTACCCTTAGACTCCGCCTTTATCCGAAACTATCTGTAACTTTTGAATCAGTTTCGGTTACGGTTATGGATATTTTTTTATTTCGGATATCCGATAGTTTCGGTTACGGTTACGGATATCCATAACATCCCTGCTTGGTAAGATGGCCCTCTCCGTCCCGCTCATACCTTTTAAAATGGCTTCTCCACCTCATGTAAGCCATTTTGGGCACATTAGAATAATAATTTTTAACCAAGGTAGATAAAGTTAAAAACGGGATTATTTCCTAAAAACCAAAAATTGTCGACAATTACAGCAAGAATTTACCAAGTGTTATACCATTTTGGAATCCTTACTAAATGCGCCAAATTATGACGTCACTTGCCACACTCGCGTAGTACAATTTTTTTTCAGTACAGTCAGTTTAAACTAGGCAAAATTTTTATTTTGTAATTTTTTTTGTGAAAAATGTATTTTTTTCATCCAAGCTGGAGCAGCTGGTTTTGTAATTTTGATAACAATTTAGAGAAGCATTATTCAGGGTTACATAACAAAAAAAAAATTTGGAAAAAGTGAAGATTTGTGGCAACACGAGTAAAAAGACCGTCACCTGGAGTAGAAATTATTGATTTTTTTTAAATGCCCATTATTTTGAAAATATGCCACATAGATTTTTTTTTATATTTTTCTGATAACCAGCATAACTTGCCTCAACACCCAGTTCCGGCTTGACGTTACATTACGGGACACCCTGTATATATATTGCCACAGGATATCGTTACAAACCTAATATTAAACTACCTACAGGTGCCATCAACGAGCTCCACCGCGAGCCCGAAAAGCCGACACTTGTGATCGAGCACCGTTCCGCCGTGGTATCGGCCGGCGCCTCGGCCATGCTAGAACTGACGTGCAAGGGCTTCCCCAAGCCTTCAGTCGTCTTCAAGCACGACGGCAAGATCATCGAGGCTGACACCAGGCACAAGTAAGATTGTCTCTTACCTAGACCTTCTCTACCGTGTCCAGTTTTATCTCATCTCTACAAACATGTTTAATGTCGGCTAAAATATGTTGTTTTTCCTTGGATAGTAGGCCAAAGATAGCATTTACATTTCCGAAAAGATTGAAATGTAATCTTAGGTCTACTGTCCACGGAAGCATAGATTCATAGACCGTCATTATACTTTTGGTTTTGGTCATAGTATAATAAAATAGTATTGCTTTTGGTGTACGCCTGCTAGTAGCTTACATACAAAACTATGAAATGTCGTCGATGACAGCGTTTCAGCGATGCGAGCGTGATGTAGTGCTCCATCCATCTTACTATCTACGATAGGAAAAAATGCAAGCAATAAGCTTAATATCTGTGGCATCCCACAAGGGAAGACACTCGCACCCACCTCATTCCTACTTTACTATACAAGGAACACTACTGACTCCCACCTTATTCCCATTTTACTATTGCCTCCAGGTTCCTATACGAAGACGACGAGAGCATGTCGCTAGTGATCAAGAACGTGAGCGCGGCCGACGCAGGCACGTACCACGTGACCGCCGCCAACGAGCTGGGAGAAGACTCCACCACCATGCAGCTCATCGTCAAGGCCGCGCCCAAGATCAAGCAGAAGATCGACAACCAGACCTGCATGGTGAGTAGGGGACAGTAGGGGACTACACAGGTTCCTATAGGAAGACCACTAGAGCATGTAGCTTGTGATCGTATCACGTGACCGCCAACGAGCTGGGAGAAGACTCCACCACCATGCAGCTCATCGTCAAGGCCGCGCCCAAGATCAAGCAGAAGATCGACAACCAGACCTGCATGGTGAGTAGGGGACAGTAGGGGACTACACAGGTTCCTATAGGAAGACAATGAAGGCTATCGTTTTAGCGCTCACCAGTTTAGCGCCACTGTAGAGTAAGGTCCTGTCACTTGCTAGTAGCGAAAACAGTGGCACCAAGTGGTGAGCGCTAAAGTGGTAAGAGGACTATCGCAATTGTACTCATCAAGATGGCGCCACTGTAGAGTAAGGTCCTGTCAATCGCCAGGGGTGCCAACTGTTAAGTATAAAAACGATAGCCCTCATTAGAGCAAGTTGCTGGTGATCGTACCACGTGACCACCAACGAGCTGGGAGAAGACTCCACCACCATGCAGCTCATCGTCAAGGCCGCGCCCAAGATCAAGAAGATCCACAACCAGACCTGCATGGTGAGTAGGGGACAGTAGGGGCTACACAGGTTCCTATAGGAAGACCACTAGAGCATGTAGCTTGTGATCGTACCACGTGACCGCCAACGAGCTGGGCGAAGACTCCACCACCATGCAGCTCATCGTCAAGGCCGCGCCCAAGATCAAGAAGAAGATCGACAACCAGACCTGCATGGTGAGTTGTCGAGGACCTTAAAAGGGGTGCGTAGGGGACCTAATTGTGTTGTCGCACATCAAGCTAAAATTTTATGTGTATTATGTGCGATCATGCAACAAAAATGAGTCTAATGTGCTGTTGACTGTACGTCTCTAGTACAATTTTTCTGTCACTAGCAATCTGTGAAACAGATGGACCAAACCAGAAGTTAAGATAAGGTTACACTGTATGTGAAATAGGGGTTTAAAGTACTTCCTACTAACGGTGTAGCCAAGATTTACAGTTTGGGTGTCAAAAAGAACTAATTAGTGAAGGTTGAACAAATTGATATGGTCAACCTTTACGAAATCTTCACTCGTTAATTCTGTTCTGACAGTCTAATAGTAGAAACAAACGAATATTCTAAACTTTTATGTCCTTATCACCAGCTCGGCTCCACCCACACGGTGACCATCGAGATCGAAGGCCAGCCGGCCCCCGAGGTGTCCTTCTACAAGGACGGCGTGGAGATCAAGAGCTCGGACCGCGTGAAGATCGTCAAGGAGTCCGACGAGGTGTACAAGATCATCATCAGCGACGCCAAGCTCACGGACAGCGGCTCGTATTCTGTTGTTGCTAAGTGAGTCATTTTCTTTCTTTTTTATAATATCAATTGTAAGATTAAAAACGCAGAGGTGGATGAAAATGCCATGGGCTGAAATTATGATGGCGCAGTTTACACAATGCACGAACTTGATCGAGCGCATAGAAGTATGGCCGACACACGGCGAAACGAATTGAACTGCGTGTTTACACTGTCTGGTTCGATCAAATTAGCGCATACTGTAACTGCGCCTTGATAGTTATAATGGTCATACAGTCTGAATAGCCAACTAACAATTTATTATGGATTAACTTAAATAAAATTTTGTGACACTTATATTGACATGTTTTTTATTTTTAAACATGTAAGCGCTTTGGACCTGTTTTGTAAGCTTACAAGTGTTTGTCATCTTATTCAAGTCACGGTAAATTTAATCCTAAATGATGGGAGGAACAGATCTGTTGATGATACATTGACACCATTTATAACATGCGTCTTTACAAAAGAGCTGAAATAAAATATGATATTTATTAAACTCAAATTGTATATTCTACTTGTCCAGGAACGAAGTGAACCAGTGCTCGGACTTCTGGCAGTGGCACGTGACGTCACCGCCGCGCATCGTCAAGAAGCTCGGTGAAAGCAAGGTCTGCGAGGAGAAGGAAACTGTCACCTTCAAGCTGGAGACCGAGGCCGAGCCTGCGCCTACTGTCAAATGGTAAGCACATTTACAAAATGAAAGATTTGAAAGAGCCTATAAAGAAATCAATTAATGGTTTTAGTCAGAAATTGAGACCAAAATGTCTAGTAACTAGTAAATTTAAAATTTAATAAAAAAATTGTACGCAAAAGCGTAGTGACAAGTTTTCTTTATGATTTCGATCTAGTTTTAAAACGAAAAGGGAAAACTTATATTTTGTCAAAATATTTCATTATGCACTCCAAAATATGTATACTAAAGAATTTTCTTGTAGCGGTCTATTCTAAGAGCGTAGTCTTCGTAGCTACAATTGCTACAAATGCTACGGCTGTAGCTTCGTAGTACCGTAGTCTCTTGTAGTCAGTCTTCTGGCACTCCCTTCCTGCTTACTCAAAGTTACGCAGTCTACATTATGCAAATCTATAAGCTATTTTACCTAGAAATTTTATCTTTAGGTTCAAGAACAAGACGGAACTGACGGAGTCATCTGCTGTAAAGATGACGTCATCAGGCAACGCGCACCAGCTCGTGATCACCTCTGCTGCTCGCGCCGACGCTGGAGAATACTCCTGCGAGGTAAATAACAATTTAGCTTATTTTAGATTTTGTAATACTTTTTTGGTTTGTTCTATTCAAGTTCGAAGTCATAAAATTCAGGATATTTCATAACAAGATGTCTTTTACTAAGTGGTAGCACAGAATAATAATAAGTACTACGTACAGAAGTTTTACTTCGCGAAGGTATTTAAAAAAATGTATGCTCAATGTCATTAACAATATGGTGTAATTTAGCCTGTCTCAAGAGTCAAGCACCATTTTGTTGACAAACGTCAGTGATCGGCACTGCGCCGAAGCTATAGGGCTGACTTCGGTAAAATGATGTGACGTGAGGTGCCAAACTGCGGAAAATGGCAGAGGAAATACATGAATTATCATGAATAATATTAACTACTTATTTACCTCTCAGTGTCTTGAGGCAACTTAAAAAACGTCAAAAATCTGTCAAACTCCACAAAAAAGCCTCGGTTATTATTAAAGTTACGCACAGTAAATTGGTGCAACTCAGCCTTAGTAAATTAGAGAGGGAGAGTGATGTGCTTCTGCGGTGGAGATTAAATGACCAGCCCCCCTAGACAAGTGGAAAAATGTGACAGTTATAATCTCAAAAGATGGCCGAAGGCCTTTTTTGTATGTAGCTACAACGGATTCTATATTCGATTCGATCAAAAAAGTGCCACTTGTCTGACCTACTGATGTTGACTGTACCGTCGTCTCAGCCAAATGACGTCCACTGCTGGACAAAGGCCTCCCCCAAGGTTTTCCACAATGAACGGTCCTGCGCTGCCTCCAGGCTCTTCGACCTTTACCAGATCGTCGGTCCACCTAGTAGGAGGCCTGCCCACGCTACGTCTTCCAGCCCGTGGTCGCCACTCGAGAACTTTCCTGCCCCAACGGCCATCGTTGACTGTATAATGCGACTAAAAACAAAAAGTTTAATAAATAACGTGTATGTCGGCCGTTTGGTGTAGTGGTTCTGAACGGACTACTATGCCGAGAGGTCCCGGGTTCGATTCCCGGCCGGGCAGAAATTGAAATGATGAATTTTAATTTCTGTGACGGGTCTGGGTGTGACTATGTATAATATGTATGTATTTATAAAAAAGTATATAAGTTGTATATCCGTTACGCTAGCACCCATAACACAAGCATTAAGTTGCTTACTTTGGGGCTAGCTGGCGCTGTGTGAAATTGGCCAATGATTTATTTATTTATTTATGTACCCAGATCCGCAACATCCACGGCACTGCCACGGACGCGTGCCGGCTTAACGTGCGAAGCGCGCCCGTGTTCACGCAGAAGCTCAGTGACGTCACCGCCAGTGAAGGCAGCGTCAACGTCGAGTTCACCGTGTCTGTGGATGCCTACCCCGAGCCCAGCGTCAAGTGGTGAGTACATAACGTGTACTAAAGCCTGGTCCGTGAGCACGTAGAATTTTGTCCAATGACCCCATCCTTATCGCTCGCGCGAAATTATGTTGCTGTCGCGCTCGCACACTCACTGCGGGCGCCCGTCGCACAGTCGCAACAGCAATATAATTACGCGCGAGCGATAAAGATGGGTAGCTTGGGGTCATTGCACAAAATTCTACGTGCTCACGGACCAGGCTTTAGATCCGCAACATCCACGGCACCGCAATGGACGCGTGCTGTGTTCACGCAGGAGCTCAATGACGTCACCGCCAGTGAAGGCAGCGTCAACGTCGAGTTCACCGTGTCTTTAGAAGCCTACCCCGAGCCCAGCGTCAAGTGGCGAGTACAATACAAGCATAAACACTACACACTACTTATAGCTCTAGCGCTTAACTCAGTGTCTGAGGTATGGAAGCGGCACGGGAGGGTGTTTTTGAAATGTCAAACATCAGCAAGACTTTCAGATTTGATTTGTTTACTCTGTCGCGTCATAATATGTCAATGTCATTGCCGGTTGCGCGTGCGCAGCTTTTGTGTGAACACGTGCTGACGTAGAAGTTTAATGATGTCACCTTTTTTAACGAACCATGACCGAGGTCATTTTAAGAGCAAATATGAAGCCCAAATATGAACAACAAAACCGTGCGGCGTATGTCACCGCAATGCGACAAGGCATGCCGCTGTGACGCTACACTATTTTCCGTGCCATAACACTGTGACTGGTGCCGCACCGTAGACATGTATCCACACCCTAAATATATCCTTAGGAATATCAGAATTAAACATTACCGTTACGAAACAGGTACCTGGGAGATGTGGAGATCACTGAGAAGAAGTCAGTGTTCACTCGCGTGGATAGCGGCAGCTCGCACAAGCTCATCCTCAAAGAAGTGGCGGCTGAGTACGCCGGCCGCTACAGCTGCCGCGTCAGCAACGAGCTGGGCCAGGACGAGTGCCACGCTACATTCACTGTCAACAGTGAGTTCTTTTGACAAATAGAGGGCAAACGTACACTTTTTGAAAGTCGCTCGGATGGACTATTCTCGGTGTTTCTTTACGAGATCAAATCAGAAATTAGTCGGCCGTTTGGTGTAGTGGTTCGAAACGGACTACTATTCCGGAGGTAGCGGGTTCGATTCCCGCACAGTACAAACATTTGTGTGCATGAACATATTTGTTTGTATTGGACTGGGTGTTTTCTATCCCAACTAATATTATAAATGCGAAAGTAACTCTGTCTGTCTGTCTGTCTGTCTGTTACACTTTCCCGCTTAAACCTCGCAACCGATTTTGATGAAATTTGGCATAGAGATAGTTTGAGTCCCGGGAAAGAACATAGGATAGTTTTTATCCCGGTTTTTGAAACAGGGACGCGCGCGATAAAGTTTTTCTGTGACAGACAAAATTCCACGCGGGCGAAGCCGCGGGCGGAAAGCTAGTGTATAATAAGTATGTATTTACAAAAAAAACAGTATTTAAGTATGTTTATATCCGTTGTCTAGTACCCATAGTACAGTCACGGAATGAAAAGGTTCGTCAGTTTTCAAATTGATTCCTTCAACGAATCGCGAGCACATATTACCTTTTGAAACTACATATGTTACAGAATAATCTCGAGTTAGAGATAATAGTCTTTAACTGTTCGTCAGTAAAGTTCAAAATTATTCAGATCAAAGTTGTTTGACGATTTATCTTGTCAAGAAGATTATTATGATTGATAAACTAAAACCTTCTTGTTGGTTCAACCTGCCATTATTATTTCTATTAAATAAAAAAAACTATTGTCAATTGGTCAATGTCATCATTGCATTGCACTGATGGGATAGAAAAATAAACAAGCAAAACCTTATTTGTTAGCAAACGTCATATTTATTTAAATGTTAGCAGCACTGTTTCTTGCACGTTATGTTGGCAGGTTTTGTACCTAGTGCAAGCGAAAACCGACACTAAGGTGACGAACCTTTTCATTCTGCGACTGTACAAGCTTTGCTTAGTTTGGGACTAGAAGCACAGTGTAAAATGTCCAAGGATATTTATTTATTTATATTTCAATTAGGAGATCCGTAAACGAACTAAAGTCACTGACATAGCCCGACGGATTAGCAAGCTGAAGTGGCAATGGGCAGGGCACATAGTACGCAGAACTGTCGGCCGATGGGGCAGCAAGGTTCTGGAGTGGTGGCCACGTTCCGGAAAACACAGCGAGGGACGTCCACCCACAAGGTGGACCGACGACCTGATAAAGGTAGCAGGACGGCGCTGGATGCAAGCCGCTACCAACCGTGCGATGTGGAAGTCATTTTAGGGCCTATGTTCAGCAGTGGACGTCCTATGGCTGAAATGATGATGTACTCTTTTTGGACTTTTGAAACATAGCGTAGCCACCTAGGTCATACGCATGTTAACTGACTCGCGCAGGCGCGGCCTCAATGACGTCACTCGCGTAAGAGCAACGGTGTGGCCGATACACATGTGTCTCAAACGCATGTAAATCATCATCGTTTCAGCCACAGGACGTCCACTGCTGAACATAGCTCTATCCCAATGATTTCCACATAGCCCGGTTGGTAGCGGCCTGCATCTAGCGCCTACCTGCTACCTTAATGAGGTTATCGGTAGACCTTGTCAGTAGACGTCCCCTGCGTTTTCCGGTACGCGGCCTCTACTCCAGAACCTTGCTGCCTCGTCGGCCACTATTTTTTTAAAGGTCTTACTAATAGTCCCGTTAGCCCCTCGTACTAAGCTAAATATGCTTGTATCACGAGTGAGCTCACCACAATAGTCGAGCGGCGGCGGGGACCGAACCCGCGTTCCCCGGATCACGAGTCGGCCAGTCCGACCCCTTCACCGTTCGGCTATCGTGGCATATAATATTAATGTTTTTTATGCATGACTAGAGGCCGCCCGCGACTTCGTACGCGTGGATCCCGTTTTACCCCCTTCATCTATCTTACGCGGTTTAGATTTTTTCATACAAATGTTTTTTCCCGCTAACTCCCGTTCCCGTGGGAATTTTGCAATATCCTGTTGTAACTAAGCTTTAAATTTACTAAGGTACCTGCATGCCAAATTTCAAGCGTCTAACTTAAGCGGTTTAGATTTTTCATACAAAAGGATTTTCCCGCTTTTTCCCGTTCCCGTGGGAATTTCGGGAATTCCTTTCTTAGTGCACCTCTACGGTACCTAAGCTACGTCCCTTCCAAATTTCAAGTGCCTACGTTTAGCCGTTTAGGCTGTCCGTTGGTCTGTCAGTCAGTCAGTTTCTCCTTTTATATATTTAGACAAGGCAGGTATTTAACCGCAAGCGCACCTGGTGTTAAGTGAGATGCAGTCCAGGATGTTTAGATAAAATTTTGTACATCTCCCAGGAAAGCCTCGCTTCACCAAGAGCCTGGTGGACATGACGGTGGATGCAGGCAGCACGCTCAAGCTAGAAGTCGAGGTGGAGGGCTGCCCCGAGCCCAAGCTGCGCTGGTTCAAGGACGGACGTGACGTCACCACCGACGCGCGCATCAAGATCGAGAGGGACTCCAACAGGTGAGGCTCGTTCGGAAGAACTAATTAGTAGAGCAAACATTCACAGATTACCAAGTTTAGTGTCCCTTGGTTTCTCGTTCAAAAGATTACAGTAACTGTAGGATAAAAATTCTGTCAAATCACACCATCGCGGCATCGGGTATCTCTTACTCTACTATAACTACTTGGAAAGCATTTCTTCAGGTCACTCTTGTCTCCTCAACTGAAGTCACCGTTTAGTTAAAACGTAGGTACATCTATCAAATGGTTGTTGCTCAAACTCGTTCTTCAGATTCAAGTTCCTTTGCAATGAGGGTTACTGAATTTAAGGTCACTAGTTGAGGCGTCAAGCTGATGAATGAAAATGTAAATAGTGCTCCATCTGTTTTAGCACTCATCAGTTGTCGCCTCTGTAATACTCTGTATTAGCCAGCTGTCCGCAAATTTGGTAGCCTCCATTGATTCATTAGCCCTAAGATAATTTCGTCTAGCCATTTAGTTGCTCTGGAATCCCTTAGACTACATATCTCTGTCGAGCTGAATCACAATGAAAATAACGCCATTTCACAGATTGGAGAACTACCACCTAACCGTGACCCTTGTGAAGGAGGAAGATGGCGGCGAATACGAAGTGCGCGCCGAAAACGAGATGGGAAGCGTCTCTTCCAAGAGCACTGTCACCATACATAGTGAGTATTACTCGAACAACGAAGGAAACACAACGTTGAGACTAGGGCCATAGAATTCAAAATTGCAGTAAAATTATGAGGATGCATTTATTATTCAAATTATATTGATCAATGTTTAATTCTAGTGAAGTTTATAATAGAGAACTAGAGTTTACACAGGTTATACACAACACTTACACACACCTTTACACACAAACACACAACTATGGTAAAGTATATTACACTACACACTCAACTACATAGGTTCAGTGACCGCATCACTGAATGGCACTTCGCTGGAAAGAGTCCGGTAAAGTAGTAGTTTGAATTAACAGTATGAGTGATTAGTTACTGCATCATACCGCACGTTTTGTTGTGGTGTCCCTAGATACCATACAAATCTGGTCAAAGTTTACCCACAAGCATTCAATAGACTAGAATGCTGTAGAATGCACTTACGAACATAATGCACTGTGTCCCGCACTGATCATTTGTGTCGTCCTTTGTACCCCATTTTGATTGAACATTTTTATCATTGCCCTTTTTTCATTCCATCATTATAGCGAGAGAAGTTCATTCATTCACAAAAGAAAACATTGTCGAAAATGAAATCGAGGAAGATAGCAAATCGAGTAAAAAACTGGTAGAAGAGAAAGTGGATACTGGAGAAAAGAAAAAGGCAGAGAAGGGGAAGACCAAACCAGAAGAGGCCGAGGAGAAGTCATTCTGGGATGATGTAGAGGAAGACGCTGTCAAAAAGACTAAGGTTGAAGATGTCAAAACACCAGCACCAATCAAAGCCCAGAAGTCGGTGACCGAACCCGAAACTATTGAAGAGAAGTCCATTTGGGATGACGTAGATGATGATGGTCTTGCCAAGAAACCCAAGGTCGAAGAAGTGGACGCGCCAAAAGGGAACCAAGCCAGAAAATCTGTGTCTGAACCAGAGGTTGCCGAAGAAAAGTCGATATGGGATGAGAACCACAACGAGCAGAACAAACAACCCATTATTGAAGAAGTTGACACCGAACCCCAGGCGGGCAAGAAGACTCGCACGCAAGCCGAAGTTATCGAGGAAGTACCGATAGACGAGGACATCAAGACGCCCAAACGTAAATCGGTTAAAAAACAGTCTGTTACAGAAGAACCTTTAAGTGCTGAAACTGAAGGTATAAACTCGTTTACCGCTTCACGCTTATCTTCAATTAGCGAACAGCTTCTAGTCTGCGAGAATCTCACGTTTTCGCGTACACTGTTGCATGCTTCCGTGTTGTTAACCTTCCAAGTGTGCTTTGTTGTTTAGGCCGAGTGTTCGAAACAGTAACCACGTTCAAGACGGGCGACGACGGGTCGATTGTAATGTCTAAGGTCAGCAGCTCGCGGGCCCACGGCGCCATCATCACAGGTCAGTATGCGGCTTCCTCCTTCTCTTCCCAATTTTAACCTCATTTTTATCCTGATGGGGTGCCTGCACTGTTACACAGATCAGCTCTACCGAAAGTCACTGGGCCATTTTATACATAGGTATATTTAACAAATTCAAATAATTTGGGAGTCAAAAATTATCATCGATTCTTAGCAATTCGACTCCAACAAAAGCTTTTAAAAATATTATATTTGAGCTGATAGGTAAGCCTCTGTAGGTACCCCTTTACACTAACCACCATCCACCAGATTGCTTAAATCTTCTAAGAAATAAATAGAAATCGTAACGCATTGACCACATCGCATGTCTAATCCAATCTTTAAATGATTGTTGTATCGAAATCAACATAATACTATTTTAACTGGTAGGTCCAGCCGAAACGCGCACTTTACACAAAATGACCTCCACTGCCGTTTATTACGATGATGATGACGAATTTGAAGGCAGGAGGATAATCCAGCCGACCAAACCTCACTCAACTTCCTTAGAGGTCGAAGAGATAGCCAGCCATAGTTATTTCTTAACTGATATGGGATATTACACAATACCTGATCACGTGAGGCGAGGGACGTACGGAATCATTGAAGAACCACAGACAGATTCTGAAGCTGACAATAACTCTAGATGCGGAAGACAGAGTCATAACAGAACAATCTCGATTATGTCAATGTCAGAAGACGAGATGAGCTGGCAGAGCTCACCACTCTCACGAGAAATCTCTATCGAAGACCTTTCTAAATCTATTTTCGATATCGATGATACAAAGAAAGTGTTCAGCAAAGATTCTTATGTACGTCAATCCTCGTTCAAAGAAGACTATTTCACTGATGAGGGAGACGAATCATTTATTGTCCGAGAGAAATCTCAAAAAGTCTACGAGAATGATATCACAGAGCGACTCATACATATCTCGAAGGAATTTGACGAAAACGAAATCAAATCTGTGGATGAGAAGATAGATGATGTTAAAAATAGAATTTATGAAGAATTAGTATTAGGGCCCTTGAAGAATTTAGATAATATAACGAAAGACGTGACCGAAACGACGGTAGAGAAAAAGAAGAAGCAAGGATCGAAATTGTTTATTGTAGAGGAAGAAGAAGTGGACGACGACTTAGAAGCGCTGTTGAGACGAAGTCAGAGACAAAGGAGCATTCTTGACGATATTCTGTCACACGAAGAAGAAAAAGGTAAATTTCAAGTCTATAAAGTATTACGGGGGACTCTTAACGAAAGAGGCTGGCATTTGATAACGTAACGCTACGCAATGTCGGTTTGGGGTAATGTGTTGCTTTATAAACATAAACTTTAAATTATTTTACAAATACTTAACAGTGATCTGTTGTTTTCCGCTTATGTACCGTCAGTTAAATTATCGAGTAACTAGGAAAATGTCAGATCATCATCATTGACTAGCGATGTAGCATCATTGTACTTTACTAATGCTCTGTCGTATGTTTGTTTTAGCGCGCATGCGTAATAACATTCCCTTCTGGCATACTAATACTTGGACTGCCCCGAGACAGAGATATTAGAAGGATCGAGACAATCATCACATCATCAAGGTATACCAAATTTTATACTTTTTGCATGATTAATGCCGCATGATGTTTTATATGTAAGTTCCTAGTTTTGTACTATTTTGTAATCCATCGGAAGTGGTAAGTATTCACAAAGAACTCGACACAACTCTCCTTGTACATGTATACTCTGTTTTATTTCGAACAGTCGTATTGGTGAGTATCCGTCTCTTCTGCCGTAAGTTTCGATATAACTGCTGTATATTTTGCAATTCTTTTCTATTCTACTGTGTTTATCGTAAATAATAAAAGGTTTTTCTTTTAGGAGCTTCAGTGATCGCTTTCGTCGAGGGTCTTTCTATGTTTTTTTTTCTTTCTTTTGTATATATTTTCCACATTAGGACAGTGCAATGAAAATCTGAATGTTTGCAGTTTATTATGGTGACATAATATTATTTTGTATGATATAAATATTATAGACGTTTCAGGATTATCTACGGTCATAAACTACTTAAAAGCATAATTAAATAAAAGAGCCTCTATTTTGTCTTTAAAGAAAACAATATTAATTAATATTTTGTCTATATGAAAAAATTTTAATTTTACGAAGCATTTTCTTTTCAAATAAAGCTCATAAATAAAACAGATCTTGATGCAAAACTACATTATCACCTTCAACCATTGCAGCACCCCCCACAATCAAAGACAGTTCCATGTCGGATAGCACCGCGTTCGAGTCTTTGCCTCTGACCTACACGGTTGAGGTCAACGGGAATCCCGCGCCTGCTGTGCGTTGGCTGCACGACGGCAAAGAGGTCAAGCCCTCCAAGAGAGTACAGATCACAAACGACGGCGGTCTGCATAAACTGGTCATAGACAAGGTGGACATGAAGGACGCCGGCAAATGGGAGTGTGAAGTGAGCAACGATCTTGGCAAGAAGGTGCAGCAAGCTCAGCTGAGTGTGCAACGTGAGTTGAAGTACTTGTGTAATGCTTAGTTAACAGGTTTTAAAAAAACGTTTCTCAGATAGAGTAATAACGAGCACCCTTCAAATAACCGGGAAAAACCATCCTGTTTTTTCCAGGGTCTCAAACTATCTCTTAAATATTGATTATCGAGATTTGAAAACAAATTACCATTATTTTTTGCTTCTTAATTGCTTCATAACTGAGGCAAATCAAACCTACTCAGGTAACAGAAATCATAGTGAGACACGAAAATTCCCATCGCTGCAACTTCTAGAATCATCTTGTTCATGATAGATCATAATATTTACAAGCTTTTTTTTTCGCAGCTGCGAGTGACTACCGCAAGCCAATCTTCACGAGCCCACTAGAAGCCCAACGTGTGATGCAACGCGAGCCCGTCACTCTTCGTGCTGTATGCACGGCTGACCCACTACCGCATGTATCCTGGTTGCTTGATGGACGGGAATTGGTCCCCGATGCGACCTTAGTGGCTGATGTGCAATCCACGCCTATTGACCACGGCCTGAACGAGTGTGTCTTCACGCTCAATATCCCTACTGGTGAGTTATACATAATAATGAAGCACAGTGGTTGATGCAGCGCGAGCCGGTCATACTTCACGCGGTGTGCACTAGGACCAAATGCAGAATATGGCCTACACTCCCCATGCTGGCCAGATGGATTTAAATTATACTGCAAAGGAATGCTCTTTCTTCTTCTGTTATTTGGGTTGGAATACTCCAAGCATTAAAATGCTCTTTATGGACACTCTAAAATAAAAAATGACAAGTTATAAGATGACCTCAAATCAGCTGTTGTAGTTTTTGTAATTTCTTGTATAGTCAGTTTTGAGCCATCTCTCTAAAATACCACCTATCTATAATATTGACACATACTATATGTCATAATGGTGTGTCAAGCCGTGTGGTGACGGCAGAGTAGAATACATTTGTTACCAACCCCTACTCTTCCCACGGGAGTCGTAAGAGGCGACTAAGGGACTACACATCAAACAGAGAACGGGCAGCAGCGCTCTCTGAAAAACATCAATCTTTTAAACTGCGATCTCCAACCCGCCTGCCAAGCGTGAGGATTATGGAAAAACCCTCCACTATAGTGGAGGAGGCTCATAGTCCAGCTGTGGACTGTAAAGGGCTGTTGATGATGATAATAATGATGTATGTCATAATCCAGGTCGTCACGCTGATACCGGTGTGTACACGATCCGTGCCAAGAACGAGTACGGCGTTGGCGAGAGCTCGGCGCGGCTCGACATCTTACTGCGGCCTGAGATCGAGGGGCTGCATGACGTCACCGCGGCGCCCTACGAGGAGACCACCTTCATCGCCAACGTGCGCGCCAACCCTATCGCCGAGGTTCAATGGTGAGTGCTGTCATACTCTCTGTTTGAAGGAGAGTGCTGTCATGCTGTCTGGTAGGAGGCCAGATTGAGGGGGTTCGTGACGTCACGATCAAGTCCTTTAAGGACACCACCTTCATCGCCAACGTGCGCGCCAACCCTATCGCCGAGGTTCAATGGTGAGTGCTGTCATACTCTGTTAGGAGGAGAGTGCTGTCATGCTGTTTGGTAGATAGAAGGCCAGATCGAGGGGCTGCATGACGTCACCGCCGCGCCCTACGAGGAAACCACCTTCATCGCCAACGTGCGCGCCAACCCCATCGCTGAAGTTCAATGGTGAGTGCTGTGATACTCTCTGTTAGGAGGACACATCGAGGAACTCCGTGACGTCATCCAGGCTAAGAACGAGTAAGGTAAAGGCGAGAGCTCGGCGCGGCTCGACATCCTACTGCGGCCTGAGATCGAGGGGCTGCATGACGTCACCGCCGCGCCCTACGAGGAGACCACCTTCGTCGCCAACGTACGAGCCAACCCCATCGCCGAGGTTCAATGGTGAGTGATGATACTCTCTGTTAGGAGGATAGCACGAGGGGCACCGTGACGTCATCCAGGCCAAGAACGAGTACGGCGTTGGCGAGAGCTCAGCGCGGCTCGACATCTTACTGCGGCCTGAGATAGAGGGGCTACATGACGTCACCGCCGCGCGCCCTACGAGGAAACCACCTTCATCGCCAACGTGCGCGCCAACCCCATCGCTGAAGTTCAATGGTGAGTGCTGTGATACTCTCTGTTAGGAAGACATATCGTGGGACTCCGTGCCGTCATCCAGGCTAAGAACGAGTAAGGTAAAGGCGAGAGCTCGGCGCGGCTCGACATTCTGCTGCGGCCCGAGATCGAAGGGCTGCATGACGTCACCGCCGCGCCCTACGAGGAGACCACCTTCATCGCCAACGTGCGCGCCAACCCCATCGCCGAGGTTCAGTTGTGAGTGCTATGATACTCTCTGTTAGGAGGACAGATCGAGGGGGCTCGTGACGTCATAGCCATGTCCTTCGAGGAGACCACCTTCATCGCCAACGTGCGCGCCAACCCTATCGCCGAGGTTCAGTGGTAAGTGCTTCATACTGTCTGTTAGGAGAACAGATCGAGAGGCTCCCTCACGTCATCCAGGCCAAGAATGAGTACGGTGTAGGCGAGAGCTTGGCGTGGCTTGACATCTTACTGCGGCCTGAGATCGAGGGGCTGCATGACGTCACCGCCGCGCCCTACGAGGACACCACCTTCATCGCTAACGTGCGCGCCAACCCTATCGCCGAGGTTCAAGGGTGAGTGCTGTGGTACTCTGTGTTAGGAGGATAGCACGAGGGGCTCCGTGACGTCAAGACCAAGTCCTTTGAGGAGACTACTTTCATCACTAGCGTGCGGGGCAACCCTATTGCTGAGATTCAGTGGTGATTGCTGTGGTACTCTCTGTTAGGAGGACAGTTTGAGAAGCTCCTTGACGTCAAGACCATGTCCTTCGAGGAGACTATTTTCATCGCCAACGTGCGGGCCAACCCCATCGCTGAGGTTCAGTGGTGAGTGATGATACTCTCTGTGAGGAGGACAGTTCGAGAGGCTCCGTGACGTCACGGCCATGTCCTTCGAGCAGACCACTTTCATTGCTAACGTAAGCGCCAACCCTATCGCCGAGGTTTAGTGGTGAGTGCGTGATATTCTGATCTGTCATGAATGCATTCTCTCACTAGAAATTTTACGAGAACAACAACAAGTAAATGGAAAGTTATCGTGACGGTACAAAACGTCCAAGGCATATCTGAAGTACCTATCCTCGAAGTTAATCGGTGCAAAAATACACCATACATTTATTTAGCCCCGCAACAATTTCAACTTTAAATTGCTTGGGTCTTACGTACAATTATTTTGCAGCACCTAAAACGGTTCTGATTAAAGAAACATTTTAAATTGATTTGTCTACATTGTAGTCAAATCAACATAGGTTTTTAGCTACTTTATGTTTTAGGTTGTGCCTTTTAATAAATAAATAAATAAATAGATCGGCAATATTTTGCGTCTCGAAAACGACGGTTTCACACACATATGCACAAAAAACTAATCTCTATACGCTATTTTCAAACCCCCAGGAGTAAAGACGGCCTAGTCATCAAGCCGTCCTCGCACTTCGAGATCTCCGAAGACAAGGCGGCCGAGACGCACTCGCTTGCCATCAAGAAGCTGGGCGTGGACGACGCCGGTGTCTACGCCATCACCGCCAAGAACGAGCTTGGAGAGACCGCTATGCAAGCCAAGCTTACTATTCACAGTGAGTGTCTTCTGATCTTCTGCACTGTTGCTTGTTCTGAAATTTGTGCAGGACGGATATTAAATTAATAGTAAGCTTTGATTCATTTTAGAATGTAAAAAAATCTGCCCCCTTAGATAAAGTTACAAACGCTACTTCTGCTATTTTTTTTTTATTTAAAAATCTTCATTGCACACACATAGTAAGTATCGGTACAAAAGGCGAGTTTAATGCCATATGGCAATCGTGACAGTAGTAATTTCAATGTAAGAAGTAACTTCGCCCGATGAAGCAATTTCGAAATTAAGAGTAGGCGCACACCGTTGATTTTTAGTTGGCCGATAGTTGTGCCCGATTTTAAATTGTATGAAGAATCGGCCAAATCGAATCGGCGTAGTGTGCGCACTCCCATACATGCCCATACTGATCAACTGCCCGACTAAACTATCGGCCGACGAAAAATCAACGGTGTGCGCCTACTTTAAAACTGTCATGTATATTACTTTATCTCATTTAAAACAATTATATTTTAAATTTGTTTTTAATTAGCAAATACCAGAATATAATTTAAAAACCGATGTTAAGATCATAGTTTGGATTGCAACTGTATTCTAATAAATACCCTTTTCATCCATCAGCTGGCGAGCCGATATTCGTGAAGCCTCTCCAAAAGGAGACTGTGAAAGACTACGATGACGTCACTCTCAAAGTGCGTTGCGACGGCGTGCCCAAACCCGACGTGTTGTGGTACAAGGACGGAGAAGAAATCGTTAATGATGATCGCCATAAACTCACTACAGAGGTGGAGGGACAGGTCAACAGCGAACTGGCCATCAAGCACTTCAACGCTTCGGATGCTGGCAAAGTAAGTCACAAGTCAGTAAATTTTAGGATGTAGGATTGTAGGCCCTGTTCAGATCACTTAAACATCCCAAATATACATAGCTTGCATTACCACCACTTTTGGACAACATATCGGCTGCAAGCTCGGCTGAGAAGAAGTGGTAACTTTTTGTTTAACTTTGTCCTTCTTTTGTATCAGAGGAACTATTAAAACCCTTTCATAAAATTCACTACAGTTCGTCCTTAAACTGAGTTAGTGAACAGCCATTTTTTAAATATATATTATTATGCTTGTTGTAGATGGATGTGATGTATTTGTGATTGAAACTCGCTTTCTTCGATACTCAGCGTTTATAACATGAAATAACGTATACAAATATTTGATGTTCGCGGTTAGAGGAATGGTAGTCAAGTGGGGTAGGCGCCGGGCGCGATCGCAACCGTTTTCTGTCAGTTTCGTGCGTAGTGATGTGCGCGTTCGCTAGTGATGTCGTAATCGATTTCTGAACATGCCCCCCGCCTTGGAGCAGCTGCCTCCAACGGTTATTCTTCTGGCATTAATGGGCATAATCTCTGGTAGCTTCTTCTTATGATTCCGCTTTCAGTTTTTACGTCTGCCACTCGAGCTAGTCCATCTTCTCCCGGGAAGGTTTGTGTTACTCTTCCTAGTCGCCATTTTAGTGGTGGCAAGTTGTCCTCTTTTATGAGCACCAGAGTGTTAGGCGCCAAGTTGTCCTGGTTAATCTGCCATTTGGTTCTGGTCTGCAGTTCCCCGATGTACTCCTTCGTCCAGCGCTTCCAGAAGTTCTGCCGCATTTGTTCGACGCGCTCGTACCGGTTCAAGTGAGGCGTAGATGCAGTCGTGATGTCTTTGTAGCCAGGCGCAACAAGCGGTCGGCCAACCAGGAAATGGGCTGGAGTGAGTGGAAGTAGGTCGTTGGGATCGGTCGACATGGGATACATGGGTCTGGAATTAAGGATTGCTTCGATTTGTGCCAATAATGTTGAATATTCCTCATAAGTGAGGTTCGCGTTCCCTAACCGACGCAAATGGTGTTTGGTCGACTTGACCCCTGCCTCCCACAAACCACCAAAATGGGGCGAATACGGTGGAATGAAGCTAAATTTGATATTCTCATTGGCCGTATAATTTATGATATCTGTTTGATTATTAATAAATGACTGAGATAATTCTTTTAAAGCGCCTACAAAGGTTTTTCCGTTGTCGGAAAATATTTCCGCTGGCTTTCCGCGACGAGACAAAAACCTTCTTAAAGCTAATAAATATGCTTCAGAACTGAGACTCGTTACTAACTCTAAATGCACTGCACGAGTAGTAAAACAAACAAATAGGCATATATAACATTTGCTCAATTTTGCCCCCCTTCCCCTTCGATTTAAAATGAACACAGGTCCTGCGTAATCAACCCCGCAACGCTGAAATGGATACCCTGGCTCTAGTCGTTCAGATGGTAAGTTACCCATTTTTATATTTAATGTCTTTCCTCTTTGACGTGTACACGAAATGCACTTATGTACAGTTTGCTTCGCCAAATCTCGCCCTCTGAGTACCCACCAACTGTCTCTAATAGTGGCAAGAAGCAGCTGAGGTCCAGCATGAAGTAAGTGAATGTGTTCAAATCGAAACAAAAGTTGAGAGAAAATATGCTTTGAGCTTAAAAGTATAGGGTGTTTTTTATTATAAGAATAATGTTCAGAATTTTGCAATCTTCCTCCCACTCTAATAAGACCCGAATTGTCCAAAAAAACGTCCAGACCGGAAATATGTCTAGATTTTATAGGTAGGTTATTTACTAAAGCGTGGTAAACATCTGGATGTGATTCTTGTTGTGCAAATTTTGCTAAAACATTTACCGACTCAGTAAGCTCTTTCGATGAGAATGGGCCGCTGCTGCGCTGCGATTTGTTTTTTATGCGCAAATTATTAATAAATCGCAACACATAACACATTGTGCGTCTCATTCGATTCCAATTAGAGAAACGTTCAAAAGGAAATGCATTATTTAATTTAGCTAAACATGATATTGTGCAATTATTTGATTTTAACTCCGGTATTTCACACATATCAAGAACTTGAACATCATTTTGACTAGATTCATTTTTAATTTCACGCAAAAACTCTGGCCCGTGCCACCAAATATCTGATTGTTGTAATGCATCGAGTGGTAGTCCACGTGACAACAGATCGGCCGGGTTATCTTTGCCCGCGACATGTCGCCACGGCAACTCACCGGTCAAATCATTTATTTGTACCACTCGGTTTTGAACAAAAGGTTTCAATAGATTTGGAGACATTTTGACCCAGCTGACGACAATCATTGAATCTGACCAAAAATAAACATTATTAAAACTTATTCTCCATGACTCACTAATTTTCTTAAATAATTTAGCCCCGACTAAGGCACCGCAAAGTTCAAGCCGTGGCATAGTGACTGGCTTAATAGGAGCGACTTTGCTTTTCGCACAAAGTAACCTGACTAGCACTGGTGAATCATCGCTGTAAGTACTCACGTACGCGCAGGCCCCATACGCGTCCTGTGATGCGTCTGTAAATATGTGCAAATCCGTGTATTTAGAATGGGGTTCCCTCACGTGACGTGGTATGCGTATGTTTTGTAAGCACTGAAATGTGTTAATAAAATTATGCCACTCATTACAAATATCATTAGGCACGGAGTCGTCCCAGCCCAGCTTGCAAAGCCATAGCCTTTGCAATAATATTTTTGCTATTATAATTACTGGCGATAATAAACCCAACGGATCATAGATTTGTGAGATAACAGATAAAATTATGCGCTTGGTAACATTGGTAAAGTTAGGATCAATTTTTGTAGTAAAGTGTAATAAATCTTCAGAATGAGACCAACCCAACCCAAGCGTTTTTGTTGAACAATTTTTATCTATTGATAATTCTTTTGTAATTTTACTATGGGAAGGTTCTAGATTAAACATCCATTTACGTAAGGGAAAACATGCCGACTTTAAAATGTCTGAAACTTTACCACAAATGTCCATTAAAGTGTCTTTATTATCGTGACCTGTTACCAAATCATCAACGAAAAAATCCTCGTCAATAATGCGTTTAATTACGTCATCCTCGCATTCTAACGCCAGCTGTTTGATGCATCGAATGCTAAGGTACGGCGCAGACGCCGTGCCGTATGTAACGGTATTAAGCTGGTATACACCGAGTTCATCTGATTTATTTTCACGCCAAATAATTAATTGAAGATTTCTTTGGTCGGATTGAATATTGATTTGCCTGTACATTTTCTCAATGTCAGCGCATGCTACATAATTAAACTGACGAAAACGCAGTAATATAGAGAAAACGTCATTTTGCAAACAAGGACCTATTAATTGTATGTCGTTAAGCGACTGACCTGATGTAGTTTTCGCACTTGCATCAAATACAACTCGTAGTTTTGTGGTGGTGCTGTGTTCGCGCAACACACCATGATGAGGCAAAAAATAATTTGGAAATGTATAATTATTAATGCGAGTCATATGTCCCAATTGTATATATTCATTCATGAAATCACAATATAGTTTTTTATATTCAGGTGAACTACGATCTAGTTTACGTTCAAGAGCGAAAAATCTATTTTGTGCGAGTGCGTATGAATCTCCTAGTGTGTCGCTGGCCTTAGCCAATGGAATGCGCACAAAAAATCTGCCCGCATCGTCTCGATACGTCGTTTCATTGAATAATTTTTCGCATATTAATTCGTCTTTTGTGAGTTTATTGCATGAAGTGATTTCTTCCAACTCCCAAAATTTTCTAAGTTGAGTATCTAATGATTGTGAATAATTACACTGAACCCTATTTATGCGAGTAAATGTTTTATTTTTTATTGGACCAGATATTATCCATCCCAATTTAGTATTTTGCAAATACGGGCCACTATTTAAGCGAATTAAGCCATCGTTTAATAAGTCCCAAAATTTATCTGCACCTATTAACAACTCAATTTCAGTTTGAGATTGAAAATACGGATCGGCTAACTGAATATTTTTTGGAACACTAATTTGCAATTTACTATTTAGTGCAGGTAATTGGGCCGTGATTTGAGACAAAACTAAACATTTTAAGCGAGTACTATAATCTGTGTATTTTGATTTTAGATTTATGTCACACGATTTTGATGAATGAGTCACTGAGTTACCAACACCAGTGACCTGAACAGTGGACTGTATTAATGGAACGTTTAATTTTTGACATAATGATTGACTAATGAAGCAGTGCTGACTACCATTATCTAATAAAGCGCGAGTAGTGTGGTAGGTATTATTTGCATCTGCTATTTCAACCAAAGCTGTGGATAACAATACATTCTCTAATAATGAATGAGAAGTATTAATTTTATGCGTATTTGATGCGTGTGCTGCTGAATGCAATAAGTTTGTGTTACTAGAATGCGAACCGACTGCATTCTGTGACTCTGAAACTTGCACCATAGCTGATGATGTTGAAGCGTCATCACTATGAATTAAGCTGTTGTGTTTTTGATTACATATTTTACATGGGCCGAACCAACATTCAGATAAAATATGGCCGGCGCGTAAACAATTAAAGCATAGCTTTTTCTCTTTTAAAAAACTAATTTTATCTTTAACTGACAAATTCAAAAATGAATTGCATGCGTATAGTGGATGAGTATCGTTACACATACTGCAATTACGTGAACGCTTTGAATTATTTTTGTTTAATGTGTTTGATTGTTTATTTTGTGTTGTTACAAAACTATGTGATTTATTTTGAGTATTCAACCGGTTTTTAATGTTGTTATCAGACGTCGTGCTACCTTTACTGTGAGATAAATTAATCGTTTCTAAGACATCCGCCCTATTTTTAAGAAAATCTAAAATATCATTTAATTTTAAACGTGTGCCAGACTGTGTTTGTGTGAGAGTACCTTTGTAGTATTCCCATTCACGCTCAGTGCATGAGTCTAATTTAGAAGTGATTAAATAAATAATTAAAGTATCCCAAGACTCAGTTGGCTCACCTAAGGTCTTAAGGGCACGCATATTTTTCAAAATGTTATCAATCAGCTTACGAATCTGCACTGATGATTCCTTATTTAGTGATGCAATATTAAACAACGCCTTGACATGATTTTGGACAAGTAAACGATTATTGTTATATCTATTTTCCAATAGATCCCATGCTATGATATAATTTTCAGATGAAAACTCCAATGATTTAATAACCATCAATGCATTACCCGTGAGAGAAGAACGCAAATAATGAAATTTTTGAACATTATCTATTTCTTTAGAGTTATGTATCAGAGACAGATATGTATCACGATATTCCAACCACTGGTCGTATGAACCATCAAACGAGGGTAGTGAAATCGTGGGTAGTTTAATTGCACAGGAACCTTTAGAAAATGATTTATTGTTTTGTGTTTCCACTGAATTTTCGTTAATTATGCATTTAGACTTAGCTACACAAGCATAAAACTGATTCTCGAAGGTTTCTCTCTCTTTTAATTCTTTTTCAATTTGAATTTCAGGTACGTTAACGTCTATTTCATCTTGTATTTCTGAAAAACTAGATAGAAACGATTCCGCCCTTTCTAAGCGCGTTTGTAATTCTGTTCGAATTGCCTCAGTAATTGTGATATTTTCTAAGGAATCGACAAATTTTAAAAATAACGTTAGTTTACCGCGAATAACGCCCCTTTTTCTAGTCAAATCTCTTACTAAATTATCATCTAAACTTTCAAAATGAGTGAGAGAATGCTTCTTTTTAGTCATTTTGGCGTTTGTGGAACACAAGAGAACAAGATAACACTGATTTTATGTGAATAAATTGCACGGCAATACTTACGTGACCTTGACCGTTTCAACGTCACTTTCACCGGTTTAATAACTTGTAATACGCACTGATATTACCACTATTAGCACAAAACACTGCGGATTATGAATAATGATAGGAAAATGAAAGGATTGACCTGACCGTGTATTCAATGCTGCCTTCTCTGCTGGTTTCGCGTGTCCGATTTATGCAGTTGATCACGACGATTCCTTGCTTTGCATCCGGCGTAGAAGTACCATGTAGATGGATGTGATGTATTTGTGATTAAAACTCGCTTTCTTCGATACTCAGCGTTTATAACATGAAATAACGTATACAAATATTTGATGTTCGCGGTTAGAGGAATGGTAGTCAAGTGGGGTAGGCGCCGGGCGCGATCGCAACCGTTTTCTGTTAGTTTCGTGCGTAGTGATGTGCGCGTTCGCTAGTGATGTCGTAATCGATTTCTGAACACTTGTGTTACAAGTGGGTTCCCTACAATAATCGAGCGGTGGCGGACATCAAACACTCGCGGTACTCGGATCATGAGTCGGCCAGTCTGGGACCTCGGCTATCGTCGCTCCCTTATAAATTGAACGAATTTGAATATGAATAGACACAAGACATTTTGCTAATGATCTTTCTACTCTTCTCTTATAGTACAAGGTCCGAGCAGTAAGCTTGGCGGGCGAAGCCGTATGCGAGGCGGAGATATCCCTAGCGCGCGCGTCGCCCGGCTTCGTCCACAAGCTGGAGAAGCAGAAGGACGTCGACGAGGGCGAGCCGCTCGAGCTCAAGTGCAAGGTGGACGGCAGCCCCATTCCTGTCGCCAAGTGGTAAGTCACGCCCTCAAAGAGATACCATGCTAATTAGTATACAGGCCACGCCCCCAATGACATGATGGTCAAGGTGAGGCAGCGTGCGAGGTGGAGACATCTCTAGCCCGCACAACGCCTTTATTTTATTTAATTTATTTAATTTATTTTGGCATAAAAGTTTAAATAAATAAATAAATAAACGCCCACTGGTGAAGCTAAAGGAAGTGGACGAGGGGAGAGCTGCTCGAACTCAAGTGCAAGGTTGACGGAAGCTCCATTCCTGTCGCCAAGTGGTAAGCTACGCTCACAATGAGATGATGGTCAAGGTGAGCTTGGCGAGTGAAGCAGTTACGAGGCGGAGATCTCGCTAGCGCGCGCGTCGCCCGGCTTCGTCCACAAGCTGGAGAAGCAGAAGGACGTCGACGAGGGCGAGCCGCTCGAGCTCAAGTGCAAGGTGGACGGCAGCCCTATCCCTGTTGCTAAGTGGTAAGTCACGCCCTCAAAGAGATACCATGCCCAAGTGTTAAAGCCACGCCCACAATGAGATAATGGTCTAGGTCCGCTCAGCGAGCCTAGCGGGCGGGGCTGTATGTGAGACGGAGATTTCTCTCTAGCGCGCGCGACGCCCGGCTTCTTGCATAAGCTGGAAGCAGAAGAGCTCAAGCTGCAAGGTGAACGGTAGCCCCGTCCCCGTCACCAAAAGGTAAGACACGTAAGACACGCCCACAATGAGATACAACGTCATTGACTTTAGTGGGTGAGGCCGTATGCGAGGCGGAGATATCCCTAGCGCGCGCGTCGCCCGGCTTCGTCCACAAGCTGGAGAAGCAGAAGGACGTCGACGAGGGCGAGCCGCTCGAGCTCAAGTGCAAGGTGGACGGCAGCCCCATCCCTGTCGCTAAATGGTAAGTAAGCCACGCCCATGGTGAGATAAATCTTTTGGACAATTTCACACAGCGCCAGCTAGCCCCAAAGTAAGCAACTTAATGCTTGTGTTATGGGTGCTAGCTTAACGGATATACTACTTATATACTTTTTTTTTAAATACATAAATATTATACATAGTCACACCCAGACCCGTCACAGAAATTAAAATTCATCATTTCAATTTCTGCCCGGCCGGGAATCGAATCCGGGACCTCTCGGCATAGTAGTCCGTTCTGAACCACTACACCAAACGGCCGACTGATACAATGCTAATTAGTATACAAGCCACGCCCATAATGAGATGGTGGTCAAGGTCCGCTCAGTGAGTCTAGTGCGCGAGGCTGTATGTGAGACCGAGATCTCTCTAACGCGCGCGACGCCTGGCTTCATGCATCATGCATAAGCTGGAAGCAGAAGAGCTCAAGCTCAAGTGCAAGGTAAACGGTAGCCCCATCCCCGTCACCAAAAGGTAAGACACGTAAGACACGCCTACAATGAGATACAACGTCATTGAGTTTAGTGAGTGAGGCAGTGTGCGAGGCGGAGATATCTCTCTCGCGCGCGTCGCCCGGCTTCGTCCACAAGCTGGAGAAGCAGAAGGACGTCGACGAGGGCGAGCCGCTCGAGCTCAAGTGCAAGGTGGACGGCAGCCCCATCCCCGTTGCTAAATGGTAAGTCACGCCCACAAAGAGACAATGCCCAAGTGGTGAGCCATGCCCACATTGAGATGATGCTCAAGGTCCCCCCAGTGAGCCTAGTGCGAGAGGCTGTATGTGAGACGGAGATGTCTCTCAACGCGCGTGACACCCGGCTTTATGCATAAGCTGGAAGCAGAAGAGCTCAAGCTGCAAGGTGAACGGTAGCCCAGTGCCCGTCACCAAGAGGTAAGACACGCCCACATTGAGATTATGTTCAAGGTCCGCTCAGTGAGTCCATTGGGTGAGGCGGAGATATCCCTCGCGCGCGCGTCGCCCGGCTTCGTCCACAAGCTGGAGAAGCAGAAGGACGTGGACGAGGGCGAGCCGCTCGAGCTCAAGTGCAAGGTGGACGGCAGCCCCATCCCTGTCGCTAAGTGGTAAGTAAGCCACGCCCATGGTGAGATACAACGCTAAGTGTTAAGTAAGCCACGGCCCCAATGAGAAGATGCTCAAGGTCCCCTCAGTAAGCCTAGCGGGCAAGGCTGTATGTGAGACCGAGATCTCTCTAACGCGCGCGACGCCTGGCTTCATGCATCATGCATAAGCTGGAAGCAGAAGAGCTCAAGCTCAAGTGCAAGGTAAACGGTAGCCCCATCCCCGTCACCAAAAGGTAAGACACGTAAGACACGCCCACAATGAGATACAACGTCATTGAGTTTAGAGGGTGAAGCCGTATGCGAGGCGGAGATATCGCTAGCGCGCGCGTCGCCCGGCTTCGTCCACAAGCTGGAGAAGCAGAAGGACGTGGACGAGGGCGAGCCGCTCGAGCTCAAGTGCAAGGTGGACGGCAGCCCCATCCCTGTTGCTAAATGGTAAGCCACGCCCACAAAGAGATGATGGTCAAGGTTCGCACAGTAATCTTGGCGGGTGAGGCGGAGATCTTTTCAGCGCGCTAAGCTAAGTGGTAAGTACACCACACCTACAATTACGTCACACAACTCCCAAGTGGTAAGCACGCCCGGCCCCCAATGAGATCAAGGTCCCCTCAGTGAGCCTAGTGGGTGAGGCAGCGTGCGAGGTGGAGATCCTCGCGCGCGCGTCGCCCGGCTTCATCCACAAGCTGGAGAAGCAGAAGGACGTGGACGAGGGCGAGCCGCTCGAGCTCAAGTGCAAGGTGGACGGCAGCCCCATCCCTGTCGCCAAGTGGTAAGCCACGCCTACAAAGAGATACAATGCTAATTAGTATACAGGCCACGCCCCCAATGAGATGATGGTCAAGGTGAGGCAGCGTGCGAGGTGGAGACATGTCTAGTCCGCACAAGGCCCACTGTTGAAGCTAAAGGAAGTGGATGAGGGGAGAGCTGCTCGAACTCAAGTGCAAGGTTGACGGAAGCTCCATTCCTGTCGCCAAGTGGTAAGCTACTCTCACAATGAGATGATGGTCAAGGTGAGCTTGGCGGGCGAAGCCGTATGCGAGGCGGAGATATCTCTCGCGCGCGCGTCGCCCGGCTTCGTCCACAAGCTGGAGAAGCAGAAGGACGTGGACGAGGGCGAGCCGTTCGAGCTCAAGTGCAAGGTGGATGGCAGCCCCATCCCTGTTGCTAAGTGGTAAGCCACGCCTACAAAGAAATACAACGCCAAGTGGTAAGAATACCACGCCCGCGATGAGATGATGATCAAGGTGAACCTGGCGGAAATTTCTCTGGCGCGCGAGACGCCTGATCTGGGTTGTCAGATAGTCAGGATTTGCTTTCTAGTGTTCTTTGAGGATCTGCTCTCACCTGAAATGATGATGACATGTTCCATTTTCGTTCTCAGGTACAAAGACGGCGTGGAGCTCCCCAAAGACGACAGCCGCGTGAAGCAAACCGCGCTGCCTGATGGTACCATCAAGCTGAGCATCGAGCGCGCCGAGCCCGCCGACTGCGGCGCCTACAAGCTGGTCGTCTCCAACCCGCACGGCGACCAGGCGGCGCAGTGCGCGGTCGCCGTCAACCGTGAGTGTGCCCTCTATATGAGTGGTTCCCAACATTTTCTGGACTAGGGACCACTTTGGTTTCTTTATTGTTCGCAGGGACCATATAAAAAAATCCGTAAATAAAGAGATACCAAACAGTCTATCTAAAACAAGCATTAATTAAAAAGGGGACATCTTCATTTAGAAAGTCAAATACAGATAATCTCATGATAAGTCCATCACTCGCGAAATTTAAAATTGTTTGTAGACCTGCGGACCGCCGGGGTTGTCCGTAGACCACAGACACTGTTTGGGAACCTCTGTCCTACATGATACAAGACTAGAGATTCGTTAAGAGTTTTTTCCATTTACCTTGATCTTGTGTGGTTTCATGTCCAGTGATCTGCGACATATCAATGCGCAGCCATTTCAGCCGAATCTATGAATCTGTTTTCGAGACAAGACTTTTGCTGTTAATTGTCAGCAATCTTTTAATCGTCCTTTAGCATCGAAACTTCGTATCATTTCTAACGAGTGTGTGTTCGACAGCGACCCCGCGCAAGCCGTCGTTCACGCAGGAGCTGGAAGACGTGAAGGCGGTAGTTGGACAGCCCTTCAAACTCGAGGCGCGCGTCATGGCCTTCCCCGCGCCCGAGGTCAAGTGGTTCAAGGATGGTGAGTCATTCATATCATGGTATAATAAAAATAAATCGTTGTGTTTAAATAAATCATGGTATAATAAAAAAAATTGATTCATTTTGGCCCTGTGAGTTCGAGAGAAAAGAAAAGGTAGCTAGTCTTCAGCTACTCTGTGATAATTTCGCGATTCGTCCTTTGTAGAATGACCTCAATTTTCGTCTTTTTCTTTAAATAGTTCCTTTACACATAATCTTTCATTCTCTATTTTACTTAATTTAATATTCTTTTGACAAATCCTATCCAACTCCTAGGTGCCATCTATCTCTACATCAATTTTTTTTAGACCAGCATTATCAATTTATACTGCAGTGATTTTTTTTTTGCTATGGGTTCTTGGATTCGATTCACACCTTAGGTTATTGGATTCATGTGATATTAAAACTAGCGGCCGCCCGTGACTTCGTACGCGTGAACCCCGTTTTGCCCCTTTAGGAGCTAAATTTTTCAAAATCCCGTCAGTGAGCACCTACGTTCTAAAAGAAACTCCCATGCAAAATTTGAGACTCCTAGCACTTGTAATTTCTGGGATGTCCTGACGTGAGTCAGTCAGTGACCTTTCGCTGCATAAGACTCCGCACTGTTTCGCTTGATCTGCCGTCATCTTTTGTCGGCCGTTTGGTGTAGTGGTTCGAAACGGACTACTATTCCGGAGGTAGCGGGTTCGATTCCCGCACAGTACAAACATTTGTGTGCATGAACATGTTTTTTTGTATTGGACTGGGTGTTTTCTATGTATAATAAGTATGTATTTACAAAAAACAAGTATTTAAGTATGTTTATATCCGTTGTCTAGTACCCATAGTACAAGCTTTGCTTAGTTTGGGACTAGAAGCGCAGTGTAAAACGTCTAAGGATATTTATATTTATTATTTTATTTATCTTTACACTGTGTGTTCTGGCAGGGCTGCCGGTGCGTCCGTCGCAGGCGGTGAACTTCATCAACCAGCCGGGCGGCGTGGTGGGGCTGAGCGTGGACTGCTGCCGGCCCGAGGACGCCGGCCGCTACGAGCTCACCGTCGCCAACAAGCTGGGCGAGGTAACTCTTATTTATTTATTTATTTTATTTTGTTTGGAAAACATACAGAGAAACAATAATAGATTAACCACTGCTTAAGAAACTATACACCATTTACATGTTTTCGCATATGTGTAGCAATACAACAAAAGCCAATTCGCTTACATGAGAGAGTTATTTATATTTACTTGATATAAATCGTGTCTGCACATAGATCTTCTCGACTCGTGTCACCAGGCTGCCCACATCACTACGCGCGACTAAAAGCTAGCTACGTCACTATGGCGGTCTGCGCGGGATCCGCTCTCGCATTTCGTTTTCGTTTTCACTAGCGACCAGTAACCAGTAAACTACATCAATACAATCCTTAAGTCCTTATCAGACGAAGACCTTACCATTAACAATCGTTTCATCCAAACGGTGTCAAATACAGCAGCCAAAAGTTTACTGCCTGCGTCCAAGTGCTTCCCGCGACTTTAACTAGATAGATCGTTGGTCCACCGAGTAAAACTCACTTTTACACTTCACAATTTTGAACTTTTTAAGCGTTAAGTCACTGGTTCACGAATGCGTGCACGTCCATAAACTTGACATAACATAATACGCACATATCTGGTATGTTTGAGCAAGGAGGTTACATGCAACCCTTCATTTAAATTATGATCACTATACAAATTTTGCTAGCTAAAAAAACCAAAGAAGATATTATTATTTGTTTCGTATTCTAAACAGAATCCTAACATCCAAAATTCCAAAACCACCAGGTCGCATCGAAGGCAAAGGTGGAGCTGACGCAGAAGGAGCGCAAGCCGGCGTTCATCGCGGAGCTTATGCCGACCAAGGTCATCGAGGGCTTCCCCGTCAAGCTCGAGGTCAAGGTCTTGGGCTTCCCGCCGCCCACCATCAAGTGGTAAGACTGGCTGTCTTGTTCTTACTTTATTAAGGACAAAGGTGGAACTGACGCAGAAGAAGCGCAAGCCGGCGTTCATCGCCGAGCTGATGCCCACCAAGGTCATCGAAGGCTTCCCCGTCAAGCTCGAGGTCAAGGTGTTGGGCTTTCCACCGCCGACAATCAAATGGTAAGGCTGGTTGTCTTGTTCTTACTTTAATAAGGACAAAAGTGGAGCTGACCCAAAAAGAACGCAAGCCAGCGTTCATCGCAGAGCTGATGCCCACCAAGGTCATCGAGGGCTTCCCCGTCAAGCTCGAAGTCAAGGTCTTGGGCTTCCCGCCCACCATCGAGTGGTAAGGCTGTTTAGCCCCATCTTGCTTCATTAATCAATCTTTTCGTGACCATAATGTACCCAACATTAGGATATCATCCTTCTATTTGAGTTGTTGACCGAATTTGTTAAACAACAAAACCCATCTTACTGATTTGGCTTCAGTGACTACTAGTGTATTGACCAAAGGCAAAGCGGCGTTCGGCAAAGCCGAACGGCAATATCCCCAAACATCTGTCTACACATATTCGGTTTTAACTCCCGGCGTAGCAACCCTTTTATTAGAATTAGGATGTTTGTACAAAATTTCTAGCCTGTATTTGAACAAAACGCTAAAAACTCGAGTCGAATCTCAATCTTATGCCTGTTTTCACCATCAATCCCTAATTTTTAAGTGGCCCATATGAAAACAAAATTCCTGTTATTTGTTACCATAATAGGGGTAACTTAAAAATTAGGGATTGATGGTGAAAACGAGCATTAGATTCATCTACTTAAAAATATCCATAATTCCAAGAATCAAACGAAGTCATGTTTTCCCACAGGACCCACAACGGCAAAGAGATCGTCCCGGACGGCACGCGCGTCCGGGTTGTATCGCAGCCGGACGGCTCGCACGCGCTGCTCATCGACAAGGCCACCGCCGCCGACGCCGGCACCTACGGCGTCATGGCCATCAACGACAAGGGAGAGACCGGCAGCAGCGCTGAACTCACTGTTGCTAGTGAGTATTGTTTATTTGAAGTAGGTTTATCTGGCGTTTACAGTTTCTTTGGATTTTGCGGCTTCATAAGTCCACCACTATTGAAGACTACATGAAGAAGTTATCTCGTCACAATCTAGTCCATACTTTGATCACATAACATAGTTAAGACTTTCTTTGTGTACAGCGTTATGAACTTTGATATTCTATAGTTCTTTCCCGCTATCTCTCAAAATTTAATTATCTTGTGTTTGAGGTTCATGAAATGTCTACTTTCAGCGCTACACGGTTCAAGTCTTGAAACGGCGCATAAAACTTGATTAAAACTCGGGCATAGATTCATAAATAACTTGAATTATTGGAATGATGATATACTCGTAATTGCATTTATTCTTATCACCTGTAGATTTGGGTGATCTTTCTTTTTCATAAAGCACAAGGGGGAAAATCGTGTTAAATTAAATTATACATAAATCACTTAAAAAGTCACCACCATCATTCGCAGGTCGCACTGACGACTCCAACCCGCAAGAGCGCCCGCGTCTCATCCACGGCCTCCGCGATACCACTGCCGAGGAGGGCCAGCCCTTGCTGCTATCTGCTCCCTTCGTTGGCAACCCTGTGCCTGAAGTGGCCTGGACCAAGGACGGCCAGCCGCTGAAGCCTAGTGAAAGGGTTCTGCTCACTTGTGATGGCAAGAGGGTAAGTGGAATATCAACAGCTTGGTAAATATAACACCTTCGCGTTGGAGGGCCAGCCCTTGCTGCTGTCTGCTCCCTTCGTTGGCAACCCTGTGCCTGAAGTGGCCTGGACTAAAGACGGCCAGCCGCTGAAGCCTAGCGAGAGGGTGCTACTCGCTTGCGATGGCAAGAGGGTGAGTCTAATATCAACGTCTTTGTGAATATAACACCTTCACATTGGAGGGCCAGCCCTTGCTGCTATCCGTGCCGTTTGTAAGCAACCCTGTGCCTGAGGTGGCCTGGACCAAGGACGGCCAGCCGCTCAAGCCTAGCGAAAGGGTGCTGCTCACTTGCGATGGCAAAAGGGTGAGTAAATTATCTACGATACCTTAGTAAGTACGATATATAAAGTTGTGACGACTGAAACTTTGCAGCTGTTCGCAAACTTTTTAAAATTATGTTCACTGTTACATTGCAGCCGTTTGCAAACTTTTTGTCTCACGTCACCTAATAGTTCAGTAGCCAATAATACTTTACCAAGTGTATTCAAACTCATTGCCGCTCACTCATCTCTCACTGAAACAAAATCAAGCTTGAAAAGGCACATTTATTCGTCATTATCTGACAAAATTGATTTGATGCCCTCATTCTTATTAATTACACGATAGAAGAATAGTTTGTGACTCACTTTCACAACCCTCAGAAACAACTTTAATAAGCATTATTGTCTCCCCCCACAAGCTAGGCTTACAGAGATCATTACAACCTACAATACTCACGATAGACAACTTTTACTAATAAATCACTTTCTATCTCCAGGTGGGACTAGAGATCAGCGAGGCAGAACTGCCTGACGCGGGCAAGTACGGCGTGACGCTGGTCAACCCTCTCGGCGAGGACAACTCTGAAGCGGCGGTCAACGTGCGCAAGGTCTACACGCCGCCCACTTTTTCACAGCGGTTCACTGACCTACAGCAGGTGAGACATCCTTCCTGTTCCCACAGCTGGGCTAGAGATCAGCTAGGCAAAAATTCCTGACGCTGGCAAGTACGGCGTGACGCTGGTCAACCCTCTCGGTGAGGACAACTCTGAAGCGGCGGTCAACGTGCGCAAGGTCTACACGCCGCCCACCTTCTCGCAGCGATTCACTGACCTGCAGCAGGTGAGAACTCCTTCCTGTTCCCACAGCTGGGCCTAGAGATCAGCAAGAACTGCCTGACGCTGGCAAGTATAGCGTGACGCTGGCAAGTATGGCGTGACGCTGGTCAACAGCTGGACAACTCCGAGGCGGCTATAAACGTGCGCAAGGTGAGACCCTGTCTTCACAGCTGGGCTAGTGAACTGCCTGATGCTGGCAAGTACGGCGTGACGCTGGTCAACCCTCTCGGCGAGGACAACTCTGAAGCGGCGGTCAACGTGCGCAAGGTCTACACGCCGCCCACCTTCTCGCAACGATTCACTGACCTGCAGCAGGTGAGACCTCTTCCCTATTCCCACTGGTAGGCTAGAGATCAATGAGCCTGATGCTGGCAAGTATGGCGTGACGCTGGTCAACAGCTGGACAACTCCGAGGTGGCTGTTAACGTGCGCAAGGTGAGATCCTGTCTCCACAGCTGGACTGTGACCTGTAGCAGGTGAGAAAAACGCGCATGCAAACGTGTCTGTGTCGAAAAATAACATGAGCAGCGCAGTTTGGACAACGTTATATACGTGAGACAAGTTTTCACACGCGCCACTACACCTGCGCTAGTTTTAGCGCACAGCCAAAAGCATCTACCGTCAATATATCCATAGTGATACTTTTAAGAGTATGCGCACACCGTTGATTTTTAGTTGGCCGATAGTTGTGCCCGATTTTAATTTGTATGAAGAATCGGCCAAATTGAATCGGGGTAGTGTGCGTGCGCACTCCCATACATGCCTATACTGATCAACTGCCCGACTAAACTATCGGCCGACGAAAAATCAACGGTGTGCGCCTACTCTAAAAGACAATAAAACATTTCTTCATCAAAAGTCATAACCAACATTTTACTTTCCCAGCTCCCGAAGTTCGACGCCAAATTCCCGGCGCGTGTTCTCGGCGTTCCCGCCCCAGAAATATCCTGGTACAAGAACGGTGCACCGCTACGTCACGGGGACAAATACAACATCAAACGGGACGGCGACGCCTGCTGCCTCTACGTGCGAGACTTGGTTCCAGAAGACGCTGGCACCTACAAGTGTGTGGCCAAGAACAGGGAGGGTGAAGCCTCGTGCGAGGCGGCCTTGGACGTGGTGGACAAGATGTGAGTAGTTATCATCATTTGTAGTCCTAGCTTTTATCTCACCATTTTATCGATTTTACGCGATAAGCCCTTACATTTAGCCTATATTTCGCCTGAGATACAGGGGAAAAAAAAACCTACTTCAGGCACATGTATAATTTTACCTTTTGTAGCATAATATTAGCCTAGAGTTTAAACAGTCAAATAAGTTATTCAATAAAGAAATTATTTATTATTATTATTATTTGTCATCTAAAATCATCGATAAAATTTTTTCAAGGCGTTTATTTTAGGTCTGCAGGTCATTTAGATTTGCTAAAGATAAATGGAGGATTAGTAGTCATTATGTCATTTAGTTTCCACTCCAAGAACACTTCAAGTTACCAGAGGCAAATGAAAGATTTGGCTTTCACTCTTCACTCTGGCCAGATGCGTTATTGGCCCTGATGTTCACATTATTTTCTCATTTCCTTTGTCGCCTCTTACGACAGCAGTCCGACACTTAGCCAACAAATTGTTGAGATCAGATCTAAAACTACAAGCACCTACTTAGTAGTCGGTAATGATTCTGGCGTATATTTAGTCAAATAATTTTTTCCTTTAGTTTTCCAGTCCGACACGGACATCGTTAGGCTAATTGAACTATAGTGGCCGCAAAATGAGATTATTTTTCTTTTTACGTGTACGTCTAAAGCCCGGTCTGTGAGCACGTAGAATTTTGTCCAATGACCCCTAGCTACCCATTCTTATCGCTCGCGCGTAATTATATTGCTGTCGCGACTGTGCGACTGGCACCCGCAGTGAGTGAGCCCGATAGCAACATAATTACGCGCGAGCAAAAAACAAAATTCTACGTGCTCACAGACCAGACCACAGACCACTATAGAAAAGAAACCAATACTCGTAGTCCAAACCCAAAGCTACAAGTACTTCATAGCACTTAATGACGTTGGCCTATGTTGTAGTGCAAGAAAGCAGAAGGTGGAGCCCCCAGCGTTCCTGAAGAAGATCGGCGACACCGAGGTGTTCCGCGGCATGAGCGCCAAGTTCACCGCCTGCGCCACCGGCACGCCCGACCCCGACGTCGAATGGTAATGTCAACTTTATTCCTAATGCGATAATAACTACATTTCTATCAACTCACTCGCATAACAGCATTGAGCATTGATGTGGAGATACATCTATACATGACGGATATTCTGCTCCTGACTCACCTTCTTCCCTGGGTCGGCTTTCCCAATCCTGCGCCGCTATTTAATTCTATCTAGTTGTGGGTGATTTTAATTTAGTTTATTCAAATTACGTCTGCAAGATTTGAACCATTATGAAAGGGTTACCAATGAAATAGTGGTCATGTTTACAATCTTGAGTAAGGGAGAAGCCACACGGTGCGGTGCGGTCACGGCGCGGCGCCGGAGCGGTGACGCTGCGGCGTTCTGCACATAAAAATCAATGATATGCCAGACGGTACCAGCCGCACCGCTCCGTGTGGCTTCTCACTAATAGTAGTCATCTTGAACTTCTATACTTTTTTAAATAAATTTTCAAAAATAAGAATCATTGCACTACTGTGTCCTACCCATCGCCCATCAAACTGTTGTTACCTACATTAATTGTGGCATCTTCTGTCAGGTTCCGCAACGGAGAGAAGCTATTCCCTTGCGAGCGCATCCGCATGGACAAGGAGACCACTGGCCTCTTACGCCTGACCATCAGCGGCGTGGACCCCAGCGACGTCGGCGCCTACACCTGCCGCGCCTACAACCCGCACGGCGAGGCCTCCTGCACCGCGCAGCTGACATACGACAGTGAGCCGTAGCTTGTAACGACAGTCGCTCGTGAGAGCATGGACAGGAGACCGCTGGCCTCTACGCCTGACCATCAGCGGCGTGGACCCCAGCGACGTCGGCGCCTACACCTGCCGCGCCTACAACCCGCACGGCGAGGCCTCCTGCACCGCGCAGCTGACATACGACAGTGAGCCGTAGCTTGTAACAGTCGCTCGTGAGAGCATGGACAGGAGACCGCTGGCCTCTACGCCTGACCATCAGCGGCGTGGATCCGTTACTCGTTATTCAAGCGAATGACAAAACTACGCAACGAGAGATAATAAAGTAGTCGTTGACTTAAGGTTGCGTGCAGCAATGGCGATCAATACATTTAGGTCTGATCGCCATCCCTGCACGCCGGCTGATCGCGAGTGAAATAACGATTATAATGATGATTAGGGTTGATTATGTTAATTATGTCGGTTACATTTCAAACCCTTGTATACTCGTCTTAACCACGCTTTTTCTTACAGCCCTCGAGCCGACAACACACAAGCGTCCCATCGGCGAGCAGTACTCAGACTTCGACAAGATGAAGCAGACAGGCATTCCCATGCCACTTTCCGACCCGCCAATCATCTCCCGGATGACTGACCGACACCTCACGCTGTCCTGGAAGCCTTCTATTCCACACGGGCCAAGGTTCCCGGTCACATACCAGGTTGGTGGAAGAAACAGTACTGTTGCTTGTTGATAGTCTACTATTGAACTAATATTAAAGGCAAAAGTAATATCGGTACTAATTGTAATACTATCGATATCTTGTAAAGAATTGTGGTCCACTGTCGACAGTGAAACTTTAAAGTTCCGCAATACTAAGAAAAGCAGTTTTGAATGGATTGGTCCGGATGAAGCAAACTGGCGTTCATGACATCATCTGTAGAGTTGTGCAATAAAAAACTTGCATCCTAAACGTTATGATGCTAAGGACATTCGTGATGTGACGTCAATTCATTTTTTCGTCAAAATGAGTCACATAAGGCGTTAGGGATTGGGATCAACTCCCCGATGGCTGGCTTACTGTATAGTATGAGACCATCCAAAATAGTTGTTTTATTTTTTTGTATAGTTGTTGCTATTAACGAAGGCGAGTGAGTTTTACATGTATGGTGGCTCGCTACTGTTCGTTTTCCAAAAGTTTTGACAGACATTACACTATCGTTATATGCATGCACACGTACACACACAAGTAAGCTCACTCGCCTTCGTGAGTTGCAAGAACTTTAATCGACGCTGTACTGTGACGTCATTGTACAAATCATTTTGTTAGAGATAAACTACACTGAAATGTCCCACCGACGACATTGACAGAAGGGCGCCACCATCTTTATTCAACTATATGGTTTCCACCGTGGCAAAAGTCGGAACCAGCGATCCGCTATTATGGTGGCCCCCCTGTCAGTGTCAAAAAAAAGATATGTCAGTGTAGTTCATCATTAACGTCCAATACGCGTTCACAGGTGGAGATGTGCGAAGTCCCCGACGGCGACTGGTTCACCGCCCGCTCGGGCCTCCGTTCCTGCGTGTGCGACATCCGGAACTTAGAACCTTTCCGGGACTACCGCTTCCGGGTCCGCGTGGAGAACCGGCACGGGGTCAGCGACCCGTCGCCGTACGCCGCCACGCACCGCGCGCGACTCGAACCCGAGCCGCCAAAGTTCGTGCCCTACCTCGCGCCCGGCATCGACTTCAGGCCAGAGACCTCGCCGTACTTCCCTAAAGGTCAGTGCCCAATGCCCACTCTTGCGCAACCTCAAGAAAGCCTGTGAGAATTCCGCTTACACCAGCGGTTCCCAAACTTATTTAGTCTACTGCCCACTTTGAGAATAAAATATTTTTTAGCGCCCCCCATTTTTGTAGTCAAGATTCGAACTCAGTCGGTGTCTAAGAGTCCTCCTAGTAGATGACGCCTCCCAAGCCTCTACACAACGTCCCGATTTTTTTTCTGGGTCCCTTACCGCCCCCCTTTAAGCCTGCAGCGCCCACAAAGGGGCGTTATCGCCCACTTTGGGAAAGACTGGCTTACACCTTGGAGAGATTATTCCGTCTCGAGACCTCGCCATACTTCCCTAAAGGTCAGTGCCCAGTAGGCCACTTCCCTAAGGGCTATATTTCACCGGGACACCATGGCGGCGCACCATAGACGTTCAGTCTAATTTATAATTAGCAACAATTTAGGTAGGATACTTTATATGTAGCTAAATCGACATCTTAAGACGATTAGTTTATAAGTGTTTCAATTCAACGTAGCTATTGTGTTGTTTCTTTTTATGATTTAAATATAATGTTATTATGTTGCATGTTTTATAAAGACGTATTATTAAGTCTATAAAAAACGCTAGCTTTCAAGTTATCATGTACTAACTAAACATGTATGTATGTTAATTATGCAAATAAAGAAATTCCAAAATCAATCAAAAATCATGGCGGCGCAACCAGTCGCCGGCTACCAACAAAATGTATGCAGCTCTATAGAGAGTTACTCACCTGGTGTCCGTTTGGTTGCGCAAAGCTGCATACATTTTGTTGGTAGCCGGCGATTGGTTGCGCCGCCATGGCGTCCCGGTGAAATATAGCCCTAAAGGTCAGTGCCCAGTGCCCACTCTTGCGCAACCTTAAGAAAGCCTGTGAGAATTCCGCTTATACCTTGGAGAGATTATTCCGTCCCGAGACCTCGCTCTACTTCCCTAAAGGTCAGTAGGCCACTCTTGCGCAACCTCAAGAAAGCCTTTGAGGGTTCCGCTTACACCTTGGAGAGATTATTCCGTCCCGAGACCTCGCCCTGCTTCCCTAAAGGTCAGTGCCCAGTGCCCACTCTTGCGCAACCTCAAGAAAGCCTGTGAGAATTCCGCTTACACCTTAGAGATTAATCCATCTCGAGACCTCGCCATACTTTCCTAAAGGTCAGTAGGCCACTCTTGCGCAACCTCAAGAAAGCCTTTGAGAGTTCCGCTTACACCTTGGAGAGATTATTCCGTCTCGAGACCTCGCCCTACTTCCCTAAGGGCTATATTTCACCGGGACACCATGGCGGCGCAACCAGTCGCCGGCTACCAACAAAATGTATGCAGCTGGTTGCGCCGCCATGGTGTAAATATAGCCCAATGCCCACTCTTACGCAACCTCAAAAAAGCCTGTGAGAATTCCGCTTACACCTTGGAGAGATTCGAAAGGTTAGTGCCCAGTGCCCACTCTTACGCAACTCCTTAACGAAGCCTGTGAGAATTCCGCTTACACTTCCGTCCCGAGACCTCGCCCTACTTCCCTAAACGTCAGTATGTTCAGTGTCCACTCTTACGCAACTCCTTAACGAAGCCTGTGAGAATTCCGCTTACACCTTGTAGAGATTATTCCGTCCCGAGACCTCGCCCTACTTCCCTAAACGTCAGTGCCCAGTGCCCACTCTTGCGCAACCTCAAGAAAGCCTGTGAGAGTTCCGCTTACACCTTGGAGAGATTTTTCCGTCTCGAGACCTCGTCCTACTTCCCTAAGGGCTATATTTCACCGGGACACCATGGCGGCGCAACCAGTCGCCGGCTACCAACAAAATGTATGCAGCTCTATAGAGAGTTACTCACCTGGTGTCCGTTTGGTTGCGCAAAGCTGCATACATTTTGTTGGTAGCCGGCGACTGGTTTCGCCGCCATGGCGTCCCGGTGAAATATAGCCCTAAAGGTCAGTGTCCAGTGCCCACTCTTGCGCAACCTTAAGAAAGCCTGTGAGAATTCCGCTTACACCTTGGAGAGATTTTTCCGTCCCGAGACCTCGCCCTACTTCCCTAAAGGTCAGTGCCGAGTGCCCACTCTTGCGCAACCTTAAGAAAGCCTGTGAGAATGAGGGCTATCGTTTTTTTTACTTAATAGTTGGCACCCCTGGTGATTGACAGGACCTTACTCTACAGTGGCGACAACTGGTGAGCGCTAAAACGATAGCCCTCTTTCCGCTTACACCTTCGAGAGATTATTCCGTCCCGTGACCTCGCCCTACTTCCCTAAACGTCAGTATGTTCGTCTGTATGTTCAGTGTCCACTCTTACGCAACTACTTAATAAAACCTGTGAGAATCCCGCTTACACTTTGGAGAGATTTTTCCGTCCCGAGACCTCGTCCTACTTCCCTAAAGGTCAGTGCCCAGTGCCCACTCTTACGCAACTCCTTAACGAAGCCTGTGAGAATACCGCGTGAACCTTGGGGTTTTTATAGAGATTATTTTTTCGGCCCTCTGAGAGAAAAAGCCCCGGCCTATTGAATTGCAGTTTGCTCGTTGTTGGACATCATCATCATTTCAGTCACAGGACGTTCACAACTGAACATAGGCCTCCCCTAATGATTCCCTTATTGAACGGTTGGTAGCTGCCTGCATCCAGCGCTTTTCTCCAACCTTTATGAGATCGTCGGTCCACCTTATGGGTATGACGTCCTACACTGCGCTTTCCGGTACGTGGCGTGGCCTCCACTCCAGAAGTTTGCTGCCTCATCGACCGTCAGTTCTGTGTACTATGTGACCTACCCATTGCCAGTTTAGTTTGCAAATCCGTCAGGCTATGTCAATGTTTTTAGTTCATCATCATCATCATCATGTCAGCCATAGGACGTCCACTGCTGAACATAGGCCTCCCCTAATGCTTTCCACGTTGATCGATTGGTAGCGGCCTGCGTCCAGCGCTTCCCTGCTACCTTTACGATGTCGTCGGTCCACCTTGAAGGTGGATGTCCCACGCTGCGCCTTCCGGTACGCGGCCTCCATTCCAGAACCTTGCTGCCCCATCGGCCGTCAGTTCTGCGTACTATGTGCCCTACCCATTTCCAGTTCAGTTTGCAAATCCGTCAGACTATGTCAATTTTTTTAGTTCATTAACGGATATCCACATTTTTTATTCGATCTCGTAAAAAAATACCCTCTCCACAACACGCTGTATAACTTGTGTATTGGATATAACAGAAACAAATTGTTTGTTTTTTATTCTGTATATCAAAATTGTTTGTTTCCCTAATATAAATAAATAAATAAATTCTAGACTTCGACATCGAGCGTCCGCTGCACGACGGCTACGCACAAGCGCCGCGCTTCCTGCGCCAGGAGCACGACGCTCAGTACGGCGTGAAGAACCACAACGCGAGCCTGTTCTGGTTCGTGTACGGGTACCCCAAGCCCAAGATCACGTACCTGTTCAATGATGAGCCCATCGAGATTGGAGGTCGTTATGATTGGAGCTACACCAGGAATGGACAGGCTACGCTGTTTATTAACAAGTAAGTTGCAATCTAATGTTCATTTATAAAAAAAAAATATGTCTATTATCCGAACGCCGATTAACCGAATCGCCAATTATCCGAATCGATCCTAAGCATAATATAAAAAATTAAAACCAAGTAATTTTTATTTTGTTTTGTTGTAACAAGGTGGAACTCGCAGGAGTCTAGATATATTTCAACTGAACGTTATTGTAGAACTATAAACACAGTTATTAAAGTTTATTCTATGTGTGACAGTTCGTTTTTAACACGCTTTTTCTTTATTAACAGTCTATGTCCGATTATACGAATTTTCGATTATCCGAATCGACCCCGGTCCCAATTAATTCGGATAATCGGCGTTCTACTGTATTTAAGTTTTCGGTAGAAGAAATGAGATAGATTAAAAATATAATATTGCCCCTTGTGTCTAATAGTTGACTTTCTAAATTAGTGAGACATCTTGAAACGAGTTTTGAGTCCCAGTTTGGAAAGTAATAGTTTTTATTTGATCTGATTGTCTGATCATCCTCTTACATTAATACCTGATAAATTGTAAGGGTGTGTGATGACGTGTCGGTTTTTACCCGGTCCGGCAAAGAACCGGCCCAACACAGGACCAGATAGAAACCGGCTCGTCAACACACGCCCTAACTAATAAAAATTCAAATGTATAAAGCATGTTGTATTTCTTTCCAATGAATAAAGCTTCCGATATAGACTCACTGTGAAAAATATGCAGTTTGTCTGATCTGGTTATATTCAACCTGATCAGATAAACTACATATTTTTACCAGCCCTCCACTCAGCATATTTCCTAACACATATATCCTCAGTATATCCCGTAACATACCGTCACTCTTTCAGAATGCTCGAGCGCGACGCGGGCTGGTACGAGGCCGTAGCCACCAACGAGCACGGCCAAGCTCGTCAGAGAGTTCGTCTAGAACTCTCAGAGTACCCAACCTTCATCCGCCGCCCTGAAGAAGCTGTCGTCCTGGAGCGGAAGACGGTCCGCATAGAAGCGCGAGTTACTGGCGTGCCGTATCCAGATATCAAGTGGTACAAGGACTGGCAGCCGCTCGCAGCCAGCACCAGGATCAAGGTATGATGCTAGAGTGTGACGAAGACTTGTACGAAGCCTTAACCACCAACGAGCGCGACCAGGCGTGTCTAGAACTCTCGGAGTACCTAACCTTCATCCGCCGGCCCGAAGAAGCCGTGGTGCTGGAGCGGAAGACAGTCCGCATTGAGGCACGCGTCACCGGCGTGCCCTACCCAGACATCAAGTGATACAAGGATTGGCAGCCGCTAGCATCTAACACCAGGATCAAGGTATCATGCTAAAGCGTAATATGGTCTGGTACTAGGTTGTAGCCACCAATGAGTATTACCAGACGTGCCTGGAACTGTCAGAGTATCCTACTTCTACTCTGCCGGTCTGAAGAAGCCATGGAACTGCAGCGGAAGACAGTCGGCATTGAGGCACGAGTCACCGGCGTGCCGTATCCTGACATCAAGTGGTACAAGGACTGGCAGCCGCTTGCAGCCAGCACCAGAATCAAGGTATGATGCTACAGTGACATGAGTTTTTACGAGGCTGTAGCTACCAACAAGTGTGGCCAGATTCGCCTGGGACTCTTGGAATGCCCCACCTTCATCCGCCGGCCTGAAGAAGCTGTCGTCCTGGAGCGGAAGACGGTCCGCATAGAAGCGCGCGTTACCGGCGTGCCGTATCCAGACATCAAGTGGTACAAGGACTGGCAGCCGCTTGCAACCAGCACTAGAATCAAGGTATGATGCTAGAGCGTGACATGGTTTGGTATGAAGCAGTAGGCACCAGCGAGCGATGCGAGTTTGGTCTGAACCTCTTAGAGTATCCTGCCTTCATCCGCCGGCCTGAAGAAGCCGTGGTGTTGGAGCGGAAGACGGTCCGCATAGAAGCGCGCGTCACCGGCGTATCGTATCCCGACATCAAGTGGTACAAGGACTGGCAGCCGCTCGCAGCCAGCACCAGGATCAAGGTATGATGCTAGAGCGTAATGTGGTCTGGTACTAGGTTGTAGCCACCAATGAGTGTGACCAGGTGTGCCTGGGACTGTCAGAGTATCCTACTTTTACTCTGCCGGTCTGAAGAAGCCGTGGAACTGCAGCGGAAGACGGTCCGCATAGAAGCACGCGATACTGGCGTGCCGTACCCAGACATCAAGTGGTACAAGGACTGGCAGCCGCTTGCAGCCAGCACTAGAATCAAGGTATGGTACTAGAGCGTGACATGAGTTTTTACGAGACTGTAGCTACCAACAAGTGTGGCCAGATTCGCCTGGGATTCTTGGAATGCCCCACCTTCATCCGCCGGCCTGAAGAAGCTGTCGTCCTGGAGCGGAAGACGGTCCGCATAGAAGCGCGCGTCACCGGCGTGCCGTATCCTGACATCAAGTGGTACAAGGACTGGCAGCCGCTTGCAGCCAGCACTAGAATCAAGGTATGATGCTAGAGCGTAACACGGATTAGTACCAGGCAGTAGGCATCAATGAGCGCGGCCAAGCGTGCCTGGATCTCACGGAGTACCCCACTTTCATCCGCTAGGCTTAAGAGACCGTGGTGCTGCAGCAAAAGACGGTCCGCAAGGACTGGCAAATGCTCGCAGCCGTTACCAGGATCGGCGAATGTCTTCAGGTTCAGCCAAACCAACGCGTGTGCGATGGCGATCAGATATTTTTATTTGTATAGAGAACAATAGTGTCTAGACAAACCTAAAAAGGATTTAGGACGCTATTTGGATCAAATATGTAATTGCTCAATAATGAATAATAAATAAATAAAAAATAAAAAAAAATCGTGTATGAATTTGTAGAAATGAAATGTACCTAATATAAAAAAATAATAATATACCCATGTAATATTTAATTAATGATAAAATATAAAATTAATGATTTCTATAATTATGTATACCTACTTAATGCTATAATGTAAATATTTCTACGCCACAAGTGGCAGAAGGTGCTGAACCCGTTCTTATTTAATATCTTGTTACCACTTTGTAAGAAATAAATGTTTTTGATATTTGATTTGAAGAATTCACATCAACGCGTCCTATCATTGCATTGGTCGCGGCGATCTATGCACGCGCAGTGATCACCATCGCCATTACGGACGCGTTAGTTTAGCTGAAACTTTACATGCGCATTAAACTGTTAGCAAAAAATCACACTATCCAAAAATTCTTCTTTTAAACGCCACATGTTTTCTCAGATCCAGTTCATCGAGCCGGACACGACGGTGCTGACGATCCACGACTGCATCCTCAAGGACGAGGGGCTGTACTCGGTGTCGGCCCGCAACGTGGCCGGCGCCGTCAGCTCCTCCGCCATGCTGCACGTCGAGGAGGACGAGCACCACTACTCCGATAGGTCAGATATAGCAGAATTATCAACTCGAAAAAGGATCAACACCGTATCGCCTACCTCGAGCTGTCATTGGCTCTTGCGCGCTGTCAACCGCGAGGTGAGGCGTTTACGTTACGGTGCGGATAAGTGTACGTTGCAGTTTTATACAAAGAACTCTGACCGCCTCGAGATGATACGGTTACGATCCCTTTCCAAGTTGATAAGTATGCTACGACCTTTAAACGCCTTTTTATCTCTTGCGAGAAAGACTGAGAGAGAAGGATTTGTAGAGTAAACCGAAAGTATATCATCCGTTCCCAAGAGCAGTAGCCTTATTCACGTAACAAAACTTCAACGAAAACAAAACACTGAGTTGTGATCCTATCGAGTAATCGATCTATCAAAATGACCCTCGTGAATACGGATTTAGAACTGTTTTTCAATGGGACGACTTCTGAACGTCAGCGAGATCTTGATTGTCAAAATACGTGAATTAGGCTACAGAAACACATAGACCTTTATGTTGACGTTCTGTTATTCCCCCAGGATCCGCGAGCACCCGCCGCGCGTGAAGGCCAGCACGAAGCCCTTCGGCGACTTCTACGACCTCGGCGACGAGCTCGGCCGCGGCGTGCAGGGCGTCGTCTACCACGCCGCAGAGAGGCTCACCGGTAACTATACAGCTTTGATTTTTGAAGTGTTAGGTCTTGGAACTAGAAGTTTTTTTAGACAGACAGGTGTTTGACCGCAAAGGGATGATGATTAATGAAATCGAAATTCTATTTAGTCCGTCAGACAGATAATTAGAACATATTAGACTCATATTTTTGTTTTTTTTCCATAATCGAATAAAAATTCTACTCAAGCGTGACGTATCGCGCCATTTCAACTCGATGTAGCACTGTTATTATTTAATTATGAAAGAAAATAAAAAATATGAGTCTAATATTTTCTAATTATCTGTCTGACGGACAAATAATTGAAATTTTGTCATCTAGCCTATTGTTGTTAAATGAAATGCAGTCTAGGATGGTACATATCTGTCCTGAAAGTGCCTATTCACTCTAGCTTTGAAAATTCCCGGATTATACTGTTTGGGAAAGACAGCAGTAGGCAGCGAATTCCAGTCCCTAGCTGTTCGCATTATAAAAGAGTTATCGAAACGTTTAGTACGAGCTGGTGGAACGTCGACAATGTAGGGACGATACGGTAACCTGCTTCTGGTTCCCCGGTGATGGTAAATCAGACCTAACTTGGATTAGAAAATTCTGTGTGACTTGCCAAATTTAATGACTGTGTTCGCCCGCAGGCCGCAACTACGCCGCCAAGATCATGCACGGGCACTCGGAACTGAAGCCGTTCATGAAGAACGAGCTCGAAATCATGAACCTGCTCAACCACCGCCACCTGATCCGCCTGCGGGACGCCTACGAGCACGACCATACGCTCGCCCTCGTCACCGAGCTCGCGGCCGGCGGACAACTCGTGCGCGACCGTCTGCTGCCCAGCCAGGGATACACCGAGCGGGACATCGCCGGCCACGTGCGCCAGCTGCTGCGCGGCCTCAAGCACATGCACGACAACAGCGTGGCGCACCTCGGGCTCACGGTGAGTGACGTCACAAGTTGTAACAAAAAGAAGGTGAAAAACTAACTGTACTCCAAACGCTACACATGCCTTAGCTGGCTACTATCCCAAGTGCTCCGGGCACTCCGCGAATCACATCTCAAACTGACGTAACTTGTAATAACTTTGGATAAAAAACGTTTGATTTTTGAATTAGGGTACATCACGCTGCTGCGTGAATGCCTATTCTATTGGTCCATGAATAAAATACCGTCACCTTAACCTAAAATAATAACGTTATGAATTCCTTTTTACAGATCGGCGAGCTTCTCCTTTCACACGTTGGCAGCGACGAACTCAAGATCTGCGACTTCGGTCTATCTCGCCGCATCCAGTTCGGCAAGCACGCGTCATTAGACTACGGCATGCCAGAATTTGTTGCGCCTGAAGTGGCATCAGGCGAAGGTGTATCCTTCGCCGCTGATATGTGGAGTGTGGGAATAATTACGTACATCCTGCTGAGCGGACACTCGCCCTTCCGAGGAATCAATGATCGGGAGACGCTGACGAGGATCAGGGAAGGCAGAGTAAGTGATTTTTATCTTTGTTATGTAATACGGGTTTGGGTATTTAGAGCGTGGGGATAATTACCTACATCCTGCTCAGTGGATTCGATCTCCTGCGGGATTAATGACAGGGAGACGCTGACCAGGATCAGGGAAAGCAGAGGTAAGTGGTGTTGCAAAGCATGAAGCTTCTAAGAGGGTGCTAGCGACGAGGTTTTCTATTGCGGCTGACATGTGGGTGGTTGGCTATTTGCCTCAATGTTTGTATTTGCGATGAGCTCAAGATCAGCTACTACGGACTCTCACGTCGCATCCATTTTGGCAACTGGATTGGGACTCTGGATTCCTCATTAGACTACGGCATGCCAGAGTTCGTGGCGCCTGAAGTAGCATCAGGAGAAGGCGTGTCCTTCGCTGCTGATATGTGGAGTGTGGGAATAATAACGTACATCCTGCTGAGCGGACACTCGCCCTTCCGAGGAATCAATGATCGGGAGACGCTGACGAGGATCAGGGAAGGCAGAGTAAGTAAAGTTATCTATGTTTGTGGGGTTTAAATTCTTATAACTACTAGAAGTAGAAGGATTGCTAGCCTGAGGATGTTTCTGTGGCTGCTGGTATATGAAGAGTCGGCGTCATCAGTACAGTAAATGGTTGCGTCTTTTTTTTAAAGCTAGTTAGTAGCTTGTGGGCTCTAAGGACGAAGGTGTGGCCTTTTCTTCGCTGCTGTTTAGAAAAGTCAACCAAGAATGTGCTGCTTTTGCGGTAGTCACAACTCACATCATGTGAAACCTTTCGAATTAAATTATTCAGAAAATGCTACGTCACTGTATTTCGTTTATCTTACAATAACCTTTAAATTTTGGACTGATGGGAATACCATTGTTATATCTTTATCGTTCATTGACGATATCTATTAGCTAATACCATTTACTATTTTAACATCCAAGCTCCATACCCTATCTTAACCAACCATCTATCCCCAGTGGGAATGGCACGACGAAGAATGGTGGTCGCGCCTGAGCCGCGAGAGCCGGGACTTCATCAGCAAACTACTCGTGTACAACTGGCACGAGCGTATGGACGTGGACACGGCGCTGCAGCACCCTTGGCTGACGCTGGCCGATAAGGTCTACCAAGAGGAGTACCACATTTCGACTGACAGGCTGAGGAACTACTACAACTTGTACCGGTGAGTTTGAGATAACGTAAATTTATTTATTTATTTATTTATTAGGTCTACCAACATTGTTACATTACAACATGTACACTTAAAAATTACAATTATGAACAAAGTTACAATGCAACAACAATTATAGGCTGACACAACATGCAATATAGATTCAATGCAGTTTGTTCCGAACCGTTCCATGCACACAAAAAAACACTTAATCGTATCAATGGGGATGTTGCCTGGGTCAAAAAGCAAGAGTTTTAATTAGTCCGTCAGTTAACTTATCAAAAAATACTCTACACGTATTTTTCACTTTTTCAAACTAATGAAAATTTAAAGAGATAAAGCGCCCCAAAGTTCATAAGAAGAGGCCCGTGACGTCAACGCTTGCTTAAAAATGCCGCACGTTGTGACGTCGTGCGCAACTTCAACGCACCATAACTATGTAATTATTTGTTAGATTGACAAATAAAATTATACGTGTCCAATATTTTTTGATATTAAACATTACGGACTAAAAATATTTTTTTAGGCAACTAGCCTATTATAGTAGAATTTTGATTTAGACATGACTTATCTTATAAGTAGGTACCTACTTACTTACTACAAATGCAAAATAAGTTTCATTTAGGTACTAAAAAAAAAAATAAACAAAAAACGGTTACCATAGCTCAATCTGAAATAAGACTAAACAGTGGCCTAATTCACGTATTGACAGTCAAGATCTCGCTGACGTTCAGAAGTCGTCCCATTGTGTCCAATAGTTCTAAATCCGTGTTCACAAGGGTCATTTTGATAGAACGATTACTTGATAGGATCGCAACTCAGTGATTTTATGTCATTGAAGTTTTGTAACGTCGTCCTATTGAAAAACAGTTCTAAATCCGTATTCACAAGGGTCATTTTGATAGAACGATTACTCGATAGGATCGCAACTCAATGTTTTGTTGCCGTTGAAGTTTTGCTACGTGAATAAGGCTACGGGACTGTATCGTACGCTTGTATCTATAAAATTTTGATATATGCGCTAAAATGGGCTCCCAAATTTTTTATTTGAGTTGTAGCACTTTCAATAAATTAGGAAAGAGACAGTACCCACTCGCCGTAAGTGAGTAACTAACTGCTTGACTCGATGAGCTTGCCATTAGGTACATATTCTGACGCTTTACTTTATTTCCATTTAGAAAAAAAAGATAAGATCAAATAAATTTGTTATGAAGGTGACTCGTATATTTTTGAATATGGCATAACAAATACTTTGCGGGACAGTCGTAAATTATATGAATCATAAATGGCCTGACAAAAAACTATGTCATTGATGTTTTACCTTTTACACAAACAATAATGTCATCAATATATTTACGCACCCGCTTTTTAAATTAGCATCAGCCATCCCGTCTGCGTTAATGAATTCTCCAAGAGTTACTGATTGACTTTTAATTAGTCCGTGGCACCACGCCAGCTGTCTATTTATGAAATAATTAGGGCCATTGTCTACCTATGAAGCGGAATGAGAACATAATTATTGTCATGACACAAATTATGATAATATTTGTTTCATTATCCTACGTGGATTAAAATGAAAAATGTTAAACGAAATAGGGACTTATTTTAATACTGGTGCGTGTCATATTCGCCATGATTGTGGTGTACGTTTCCTTAAAACTTTTCTGTCTCCAATCGCATGCTATGCTTATAAATCAGTGGATTACCAACCTTAGATGCGTGGATTACACAATACATTGAGTCACATTGCGTATGATTGCGGAAATCTTTGACCGAGAACAGATCACCTTCATTGCATCTATTGTCAGACTAGATATCAAAACTTAATTGGGAGCTCATTTATTAACGTTTCAAATTGAATATAACAAGTCTCTAATTATTTTTCAAACTTAATTATGGGATACGATAAAGAAAAGAGTGGCGCTAAAAATATGTTTTATTGAACGAATATTCTAAATTCAAATTCAAATTCAAAATATTTATTCATAGCAAAATACATATTGCGTTGAACTTATTTAAAGCTTATTTTGCATTATTTTCAATGTTCAGATCAAAGTTCAAACTTATTTAATTTTTTTTTTGTATCTGAAATATTGAGGGTACATGTAGTTTTTCGTACAAACGTGAGTCAAACAGTGTCAATAATTTTGAAATAGACTCTTTGTGAGAAAACCAGTGAACACTGAAGTGCAATTTTTCAAGGTTTCCCAAAGTAGTAAAGCGAGAATCATTGAATACTGAAGTTGTACCTTTTTAAGTTTTCCGAAAGTAGTAAACAAAGAATCAGTAAAATTACTGAAGTGTAGCTTTTCAAATTCAAACCAAGTCTAAGTAACAAGTGCAAAAATGGATAAAATGTTGAACATGGAGATAGTGAAGTCGTGGATGTACCAATGTTTGGACCTGGCCAGGGACTGGACGGGCAACGCGGCGTGCCGTACGTGGTTCCGGCGGCGGCCGCTGTCCGGCGCCTTCGAGCACCCCTCCAAGATGGTCTACCCGCCGGGAGAGGTCTACACGCCGGAGGGTGAGTTATTTGTTACATGTTCAACTGTGACAGTAAGAGCCACAGCACATGATGCATCACATAGTGAGCTTTGGCTCTAAGGTCTACTACCAGTACGGCTAGCACGAAAAACTTTCGAGTTATAATCGGAATTGCGTACTCGAATCACCATCAAAGATTTAGCACTAAAACTACAACAGCGCCCTTGTGAACGTGTCGTAAAGTGAACTTAGTATGAGAAATGGTTGAACGAAACTTATTTTGAGAATCAAAATTGTCACGTTATCGTTTAATTCGAGGGTAGTATCGAATTTTGTCGAATACGCGAACGATTTGAAGACGAAAGTTGTTCATGCTAGAGGTACAGAGTCCACACACCACTTGTTATGTTAAACTTTGACAGTAACCCACACAATCTTTCATTTCATTTCATTATTAGTGTCATGTGTGTTCATTGAAATGGACTGTAATGTGAAATACTTACCTCTCAACTTCTGTGATTAAAAGATGGTAAATGAAATCAACAAATGCATGCGGCCTGTGAAGCTATCCAATGTGTGTATCAGTCTCATCACGTTGTGCTGTGTCGTGCCACATTGACCTACGTAACCTAAATCAATGATGAAATTGTTATTTTTTGCCCAACACAATACAGTAGTATTTCGTCCGTCTGAGTATAATTTGACAGTTCAATTCCTCCAAAAATTGTAATTTCATTGTTTCCGCGCAGGTACTCCCGAAAGAGAGCGCTCGTCCCGCGACCGCTCGGCCGGCTGGGACCTCAAGTTCAAGCAGTGGGAGCACCCCGACTGGGAGGTCTCCGCCAAGTCAGAGAGCCAGTAAGTTCACTTCCGCCAAGTCAGAGAGTCTTTATTATCAGGTCATTATTCTCCATTACATTGATGTCCATAATCAATAACGACCTTAAAGAAGCCCAAGTTAACAGTAAGGCAACCCAGGACCGAGCCGCCTGGAGCCGCATGACGCGGAGGGCCGACCCCAAATAAAATGGGAATGGACCAGGCAAAGTAGTAGTATTATTCTCCATTGCAGGAGATCATCATCATGTCAGCCATAGGACGTCCACTGCTGAACATAGGCCTCCCCTAATGCTTTCCACGTTGATCGATTGGTAGCAGCCTGCGTACAGCGTTTCCCTGCTACCTTTACGATGTCGTCGGTCCACCTTGTAGGTGGACGTCCCACGCTGCGCCTTCCGGTAAGCGGCCTCCATTCCAGAACCTTGGGCAGGAGATCAACCTTCTCAACGGATCTAGGTGCTGCCTTTAGGAAGATGGTTCCATTCTTTCCCTGGGTGTTAAAGTTATAATCTTATCGTGCAATATGTTGATGAAGGGTCCCATCTTTTTGCCAAGCAAAAAAACGTGACTGTTTCCATAACCTTACGTAGCTGTGTGCAAAATAACAATATGGTACTATTTTTCTTCTTGCCTTTTCCTATTTCATTTGGAGTCGTTTTTCCTCGTACTAAGGCGCAAAGCAAATACAATCCGTTTTGGGCTGTCTGGTTTTCATGGTATCATTTATTGATATCTCTTGCAGCTACCAGAACGGGCCGGACACGTATCTCCTACAACTTCGCGACGTGCAATTCCCGGTGCGTCTCCGCGAGTACATGAAGGTGGCGTGCCACCGCTCGCCCGGATACAGCATCAGCGTGCACGACACATACGACCCCAGGGTGAGTGGACTACATCATTTAAAGTCTTTACCTGGTGGTGGAAGAGTTGATGCCACCAGATTTTGAGCTTTAAGTAGTGAGATAAGGTTCAAAAGCTATGAAAAATATTTTTTGCTTCATCAGTTACAAGGTTACTTAAGTATGTATAACTATGTATAATATCTATGTATTTAAAAAAAGTATATAAGTAGTACCTATATCCGTTAAGCTAGCACCCATAACACAAGCATATTAATTGCTTACTTTGGGGCTAGATGGCGCTGTGTGAGATTGTCGAAAGATATTTATTTATTTACTAGTAGCCTACACTTCCCAAGGTAGCCAGACGGGTTAAAGAGGATTGATGTCCGCATATTTCTCTCTTTGTTGCCTCTTATTTCATCCACGGAATGAATGTCAGTGGTATTTTAATCTGCCGAAACTACGCGCCTCAAGAAGGGAGAAGGGGCGCGCGAAAAGGGAGTGAATAGGAGAGACGCAGTATACAACAATTGCTGAATTTATGGTGCGTCCACACTGGGCGAACGGGCTCGACATCCTGCTCACTCAATAGCAGGGTGAGCAGGATGACCAGCGTGCCTCGCGAGCCCGTTCGCCCAGTCTGGACGCACCATGACGCGACTTGCGTTCGCGCCTAGCGGCAACCCCGTAGCTGCTATACATCTCTCAGGACAGTCGAGTGACGCCCTTGACAAAAACTCATAAAAACTGTTTACAGTTGGGCGTGTCCAATTCTTTCATATTTTTAAAAACAATGTATTTTCCTCCAGACACCAATCATCCGCGAGCGGCGGCGCTTCACCGACATCATGGACGAGGAGATCGAGGACGAGCAACGCGAGCGCATCAACAACTACGGCGCCGAGAGCTACACCATCCGCCGCCTGCGACACGAGCTCGGCACGCGCCTCGACTCCTACGCCGAGGCCCAGGCGCTCATGGACGCCAAGCGCGACGGACAGACGCCCTTCTTCCGCGAGCGGCCGCAGCTGCTGCCCGTCAGGTGACGTCACACGACCGTCCGCCGCCGAGCACGAGCTCGGCACGCGCCTCGACTCCTACGCCGAGGCCCAGGCGCTCATGGACGCCAAGCGCGACGGACAGACGCCCTTCTTCCGCGAGCGGCCGCAGCTGCTGCCCGTCAGGTGACGTCACACGACCGTCCGCCGCCGAGCACGAGCTCGGCACGCGCCTCGACTCCTACGCCGAGGCCCAGGCGCTCATGGACGCCAAGCGCGACGGACAGACGCCCTTCTTCCGCGAGCGGCCGCAGCTGCTGCCCGTCAGGTGACGTCACACGACCGTCCGCCGCCGAGCACGAGCTCGGCACGCGCCTCGACTCCTACGCCGAGGCCCAGGCGCTCATGGACGCCAAGCGCGACGGACAGACGCCCTTCTTCCGCGAGCGGCCGCAGCTGCTGCCCGTCAGGTGACGTCACACGACCGTCCGCCGCCGAGCACGAGCTCGGCACGCGCCTCGACTCCTACGCCGAGGCCCAGGCGCTCATGGACGCCAAGCGCGACGGACAGACGCCCTTCTTCCGCGAGCGGCCGCAGCTGCTGCCCGTCAGGTGACGTCACACGACCGTCCGCCGCCGAGCACGAGCTCGGCACGCGCCTCGACTCCTACGCCGAGGCCCAGGCGCTCATGGACGCCAAGCGCGACGGACAGACGCCCTTCTTCCGCGAGCGGCCGCAGCTGCTGCCCGTCAGGTGACGTCACACGACCGTCCGCCGCCGAGCACGAGCTCGGCACGCGCCTCGACTCCTACGCCGAGGCCCAGGCGCTCATGGACGCCAAGCGCGACGGACAGACGCCCTTCTTCCGCGAGCGGCCGCAGCTGCTGCCCGTCAGGTGACGTCACACGACCGTCCGCCGCCGAGCCGCGAGCTCGGGAATCGCCACTAGAGGCGGCCGCTCAAATGAAGAAGCTACCTCAGTCTGATCTGAAGCACGACTCGTTCATCGATCGTTATCATCATTTCAGCCACAGGACGTCCACTGCTGAACATAGGCCTCCCCATGACTTCCATATCGCACGGTTGGTACTGTTGGTAGCGGCCTGCATCCAGCGCCTTCCTGCTACCTTCATCAGATCGTCGGTCCAACTTGTGGATGGACGTCTCACGCTGCGTTTTCCGGTACATGGTCTCCACTCCAAACTCGTTGCGAGGCAAATTTCGTCGCCGCGGACCGAGACACATTTTGACGCTCGGGGCGAGGCTGCCGCTCGGCCTAATGCTGCCTCTAGTGACTAGTGGATATACAGCTTTACAATATCGTTTAGTTCTCACTACAAACCATGTAAGTTTATTTACAGCAACTAGGACAATCAACAAAACTAAGGAGCCGAGAGTTATATCCATCGACAGCATAATTTATCGTCCACCTAACCTGTTGAATTTTTCGCTAAAGTATCACGGTCGAACTTTAGATTCTATTGAGGCTCATGACAGCATGTTCAGATATATTTTTTTACAATGAGGGTTTTCGCGATTGAAAAATCCGCCAGATGGCAATACGTAGACGCGAGGTCCAAATGCTGCACGATTGTTTATTTTTGACATGACATTGACAGATATGTCAAAATCCACCAATCACGCAGCAGTCAGACCCCACATCTACGTCCCGCCATCTGGCGGATTTTTCAATCGCGAAAACCCTCATAGAACGGATGTCCCTGTAGCGCTTCGATCGAGAAACAAAACTAATAATCTTTCTCTTTATCAGGGAGGGCGAACCAGCTCAACTGTCGTGCTACGCCGTGGGCGACCCGAAGCCCAGCGTGCAGTGGTTCAAGAACGACATGGTGCTCGCCGAAGGAACCCGCGTCACCATCAGCGAGGACGAAGAAGGACGCTCTGTATTGCGCTTCTCACCTGCGATGCACCACGACGTCGGCTTCTACAAGGTGATACAATTTTAAATTTACTATCAATACAGACCCAATAAACTGAACTGTCCTATCCGTGACATTGACAGCGGGGCGCCACCGTCAATACCGAATCGCTGGCTCCGATTTTTGCCATGTTGGAAACTAACAGTTGAACGATGGTGGCGCCCCTCTGTCAATGAGTTTGGTGGGACAGTTCAGTTTGGGTCATCTATAGACGTGTTGACACCACCCATAGATTTTGTATGGTAATACAAGCAAGTGACGTCACTATTTTAACAACAAAATTTAATTATTAATAATTATTAATGTTCTTACTTGACATATATTTTACACAATATTTTTATCTTGCTAAAACATGTTGACACACTTGTAAAATTGTAAGACCAAATCTCATTGCTCTGCAATATGTTTTTACACATTTTTATGTAAAGAAAGAAGAAAGAAAGAAAATACATTTATTTGGTACATTAAAAACAATAAATTACAAAATAAATATCTTTATCTTTAAGGCCGTCGCGCGCAACAAGTGCGGACAGACCGTAGCTCGCACGCGAGTAGTCGAAGCAACCACGCCTAACGCCCCCGATAGTCCCCAAGCTACTGAAACATCCGACACTGAGGTCTTACTGCGTTGGAAGCAGCCTAAATACGATGGGAACTCGCCGGTGCTATGCTATGGACTGCAGTACAAACGCGGCGACAGCGTGGAGTGGAAGGACATCGCCAATAACATCGACCACGAGTTCTTTGTCGTACGCGATCTTACACCCGACACTAGCTACCAGTTCAGGCTATCCTCGAGGAACAGGTCAGTATAACATTCAATTTAAAGTTAATATTACCACAGAATAATAATAAGTACTACGTACAGAAGTTTTACTTCGCGAAGGTATTTAAAAAAATGTATGCTCAATGTCATTAACAATATGGTGTAATTTAGCCTGTCTCAAGAGTCAAGCACCATTTTGTTGACAAACAGACAAACGTCAGTGATCGGCACTGCACCGAAGCTATAGGGTTGATTTCGGTAAAATGATGTGACGTGAGGTGCCAAACTGCGGAAAATGGCGGAGGAAATACATGATTTAGCATGAATTATCATGAATAATATTAACCTACTTATTTACCTCTCAGTGTCTTGAGGCAACTTAAATAAGTACATTCTGTGTTTTTATTATTATTTAGGCAGTTAAATACTGCACAGTATTTAGTACACCATTTTCTTTGTTTTCTTCCATCATACACAAGAATACGCGTGCGTGAGTCAATGTTCGCTCGTATGTGAGGGCTTGTCGAATAGTATCCTGTAGGTGGGCCATCGTGCGTGTTTTGTTTTCGATGTAAACTCGCGGAGATGAACAGGCCTGATATTACTCACAACTCTGTAACTATCGGGTGGCAGGGCTAGCAAAATGCCACGGGACCTAAATTCGCGCTGCTTCCGGGCGATGTAATGGTCCCCTAAAAAAATTTACCACGGGCCTGAATGAACAAAGATGGAAATAATCTTTCGCGTTCCATTTCAAAGTAAAATAGAAAGACACAAGCCGTGAGTACATAATATAGTTCACTCTTAAATGTGTGTCTTTCTATTTTAGATGGAAGTAATTTATTTTGCAAGTTCAAAACAAATTAACATTTTGATATTTTTCTCATGCTACAGGATCGGCTGGAGCGACAAAGGCATCCCTACAAACCTGATCAAGACCAAAGCATCTGGAGCGCCCAAGATCGAAGTCACCAAAGCCATGAAGCACCTTCAACAGATCACAGAATCCGGTCAAGAAGTGTCATTAGACGAGCAGCGACCACGCTTGGACTACAGTACTGAGGAGAAACCGGTAGAATGGGACTCCTCGGATGCCTTCACAGAACGCTACAGCTTCATCTCCGAATTATGGCGCGGCAAATTCTCCATCGTCGTCAAGGGCGTAGACAAGACCACCGACAACGTCGTCGTATCCAAGATCCTGGAGAACAGACCAGAAACCGAAGTCCAGATCAAGAGGGAGTTTGAATGTCTACGAAGGCTCAGGCACGAGAGGATATCGAACTTGTTAGCCGCTTACCAGGCGCCCGGCTCGCCTGTTACCGCGCTCATTTTGGAAAAACTACAAGGGGCTGACGTCTTGACGTACTTATCCAGCCGTCACGACTACACGGAACAGATGGTAGCGACCATCGTCACACAAATCCTGGATGGACTTCAGTACCTGCACTGGCGAGGCTACTGTCATCTGGACCTGCAGCCCGATAACGTTGTCATGGCGTCTGTCAGGTCGATCCAGGTCAAATTGGTGGACTTCGGATCAGCGCACAAGGTCACGAAGTTGGGAACTAGTGTGCCGCAAGTGGGAGACTTAGATTACAAAGGTATGTGTGACAATTTCCCTTATATTTTTTGTAAAAGCGATTTTTTTTCAAACTAGAGTAGATGATGACGTATTTAAAGCGTGTGACGTCACAGCTTGCATTTAAAATAAATAAATACCTTCCTCACCTCTAATAAACTTCTAGGTATTCCGCAGAATAAATATTGGCCCTCAACATTACGCGCAACGCTCATTCTATAACCAGATCTCCACTAGAGGCAGGGCAGAGAAGCCTCGAGTCGAGCAGCCGTTTTAACCCTCAGCTACTCAAATGGAGACGCTGCCTCAACCTGAGGCACGACTCGTTGCGAGGCAAATTTCGTCGCCGCGGATCGAGACACATTTTTTCGCTCGGGACGAGGCTGCCTCTAGTGGATACACGGCTTATGATGCTCCAATGTTGTCCGCATTTTATTTACGTGACCTCTTTAACCATATTTGTCTCGTTTTACTCAAAAAATCATCAACATATCAATCTTACTTTCCCCGCAGCGCCTGAAATCGTGAACGACGAGCCGGCGTACCCTCAAACCGACATCTGGTCGTTGGGTGTCCTAACATACATCATGCTGTCGGGCGTGGCGCCCTTCCGCGGCTCCGACGACGCCGAGACCAAGCAGAACATCTCCTTCGTGCGGTACCGCTTCGAGCACCTCTACAAGGAGATCACGCAGGTAAAGTGGAGCATCTGATTGACGTAACATGTTCCTTATACAGTATGTCTCAAAAATAGTGTCAAGCTGAAGTCTAGAGATTAGAGCATCACAAGGGCTAACCGAATCACCCCCATGTATATCTCGCAAACTTGAAAACTATCAAAAATAGCGGAACATAATATGTACATGTTGGTAATCCGAGTGGTGAGTGAGTACAAACTCACTACATCACTAGAACCACTAAAGCCCGGTCCGTGAGAACGTAGAATTTTGTTCAATGACCCCTAGCTACCCATCCTTATCGCTCGCGCGTAATTATATTGCTGTCGCGACTGTGCGATTGGCACCCGCAGTGAATGTGCGAGCGCGATAGCGCGAGCGATAAGGATGGGTAGCTTGGGGTCATTGGACAAAATTCAACGTGCTCACGGACCAGACTATAGTATCTGTATACTCTATATTGCACACTATTGACAAATGAAAGAATAAGAAATAAATTCAAAAATTAGAAAGCTTTTTATCTTTTTCCTCACTCTGGTAGAAAGTTGGTGGGAAAAGCGATATAATAAGCGTCGAAGGGATTTATTGGTATTAGATATCCGTTTCAGCAAATGTTCATCCTTTTAACATCATTGAGAGACTTAAAAGGACTTCAGGGTAGTTGAGCCAAATCTATCAATATTCAGTTGACAAAAATAATGTCTTTCTTTTCATTCGTGACGTCAACTAATCTCATTTCCCTGTACAGGAGGCGACGCGGTTCCTGATGTTCCTGTTCAAGAAGGTTCCTCTGAAGCGGCCGACGGCCGAGGAGTGCTACGAGCACCGCTGGCTCACGCAGAGCGACTTCATGAACAAGAAGCGAGAGCGCGCCGTCTTCCTCGGGAACAGATTGAAGGTAAAGAAAGAAAGAAAGAAAAACATTTATTTGGTTCCAACTTAAAATATAACACACAAAATAATAACAAGTACAAGTTAGAACCAAAATTGGGCACCGCTCAGCATGTGTCATGCTCTGGAGTGGTAAATAAAACCCAGAACATGACGCTGTTATTCTGCAGTGACCATTTAAGAAACGCTTTATCGCCATCATCAGGCCATAGTCTCCACTGCAGTACAACCCTGTCGATGAAAAGCAGCACGGACATGTGTAGCGCCATCTATGGCTCGTTGTATGAATTAGTTCGTCCTGACGAGCCTCCCGGTAGTTCCGTAAGAAAGGAAGAAGAACCATAGATGGCGTTTTATAAAGTTACAAACAGTTGCTTATAGATGGCGGTAAATATTGGTTTAGAACAAACCTAATGATTTTAAGATGTACACACGACCACCCACCTACAAGAATTAACTGCTACCGCCACCTATCGAGTTTAGTTACCGATAACTAGGCCACGCTCCCATATAGCAGTTTCATTAGGACTGATTCGAATCTGACAAAATATGGATCTAGAAACTAAACTAGAACTACCATACTAGTTCTTCACAAATTTGGATCGGACGTGGCACGTAACCGCTCTTACAACATTTACACTATGAAATAGATAACACAATACAATTTGAAATGTCACTAATACCTAATATTTTGTGTCCAGGAATTCTCCGACGAATACCACGAGCAGAAGGCGGCCGTGGCGTCACAGGCGGACTCCGTCGCCGCCGCCTTCGGCAAGATGGCGCCCAGGCACCTCACGCGCTCCAACAGCATCCAGGAGGAACTCTTCACAAACTTCTCCAGCCACTGACACTCCACACACCGCCACAAACCATATCTTTGACCAAAATATTTTAAACCATCTCTGGCTATTTATATGAATGGGGATGAAAACGCCATTAATAGCTCCACTGACATAACAACTGGGATATATGCATCCCTTGGTCGCAGTCACCAACTGAACTCAAGAGACTGTCTCAAGCAGATTTAAGTAAACGCTTGTAGCTTAAAAAAGAAAGCAGATTACTCATCTTCCTCTGGCAGATCATATTGGAAAACAAAAAATTAAAGAAAGTATTTCTCCTCAGACAGTAGACGATTCTTAAAATAATTAAGTAATTGAAAAGCAACATGTTCTTATGATTTTATAAATAAATCATTCAGAACTGAATATAGGTGAAATATACGTCCAATCATCTGCCAATTATAAACTCATTAATTCATTCTTTCATTACATTAAATTCATGTACATTTTTACACCAAACGAAATTCTAGTCATAATGAAATTTTGTTACGAAACTTTTGTTATTGTTAAGCTATTTATTACTATTGTATACAAATTTTTACTATTTATACTAATTGGAATACTTGATGCTCCAGTATTAAAGAACTTAATAAAGGGCATTATTATTTGATATTTTGTTTTATTTTATTACTCTTGTAACTACTAGTAAACTAGTTACCAAAAAAACATTTATAAATTAGGAAATAAAACCCAGATCTGTAGTAAAAATTCACTATTATGTTACAGCAATAAACATATTACATTAAAATTCATTTAAATTATTGCAATCTGTTCACAGTTGTTATGTGTTGATTAGTTTTTGGTGTATTTTTATTAATTTATTTAAACATACAACAACATTTTACGAACATAATATCAAAATGATGAAGTGAAGAATTGAGCAACTATCAACACATTTAGCTCACATAGTAAGTTTCAAAGCAAACTTTTTATTAAATAGTCACATAATATGTAATGCATGAAAATCCAATATCTTTACATGTATTTCAAATTAAATACTTATCTATTGACACCTTGTATGTTATTATGATAAGAAAGAACCATAAAAAATTAATGGCTACTGCTATCTCAATAAAAATACATGTTGACTATGCCAAAACACTAAATATCTTGATCATTCAAAATACAAGGTAAAACTAATATCTATTAATTATTTATAATAATGGAAAGTTCCTTAAATAATGACAAGATTAATTCATCAATAGAAAAATACACCAAAAACAGATAAATGTACATATCACCATTTTGGAGTATTTATTATATTTATCTACAAATATTAAACCACTCAGCATTAGTTAACTTTTAGCTATAATATTCCCAACAATTTTATTAACGGACATTTTGAAACTTGTTTAATTTCATGTTTGCACAAAATTCTAGTTCATAGATACAGAAGTGAAGTTAGAATTGTTCCAATAATTATTATAGTGTGGAAATGTGAAGAATATATTATAATACATGTACTATTTAAAGGCATACCTTTAACCCAGCGACAAAATAAATATAAATGAGAGGTATAAAAAGAATTTAAGATAATACCAAAAATAATAGGTTAGTAGCTAATCAAGTTTTTGTTTCAGTAACAACATTAAATTAAAAATATAAGCAATTAGTATTTAGAGTACTCTTTTTCAATTTAATGGCCAACAAAACACCTAAAATTGTCTCCAATAGAATTAAATGCTACATACTTTATTAGTTACAAACAGTGAGATGCCATTAAGTTTTGTCACCAGGAAAATAATATGCCATAAACTCTTAAAATATGTGCTCAACAATGCAATATTTCCTCAGTTTATTTTTGGCAAACACGAAAACAACATTAGCATCATTATTCTTGTGCTAAATGGTGTAATACAAACAAGTTGATAAGAATGAAGTATGTATAAAGTTTCCTAATGAGATAGAAAGGTAGCGAGTGAGCCAGCTTCAGCCAGTTTCATCTTTTACCCTTGGAGACTGCGATGTACTCTTGAACTTTCGCCTGGAACTCAGTTTTGTTCTTCTTGTACATTTCTGCTGCTTCTATGTTCAAAGGGTCTTCGAAATTTAAGAGATCCTGGAACAAAACATTGACAAATCTATCAGTATTGAAAACAAATACAAAAGTTATTTTATTATAAACATAAATAAGACAAACTTTAGGTTAAAAAGTAATGAATCTAGAAGTCTTCTTTAATCCTATGTTACAACAGTACAAGCTCACTTACAGTAAATAGAGAGTTAAGTCCCCAAACCACATCCTTCAATCGGCGTGTGGGCGCCCAGCCGTGCTCGTCAATGGAAGTCTGTCGGAGCAATGATAAGCAGATGTCACCATCTACATTTATGTTCGGGTGCCACAGTCTTGTCAGACATTTTACTTTTGGAGGCTAAAAGAGAGACAGAGAACTTGATAATAACAATAAAAATACAAAAGAAGTACCAAGAATTTCAACATTCAAAATACAATTTAATTAAGGTCAGTAGGTAATTAATAGCCACAATTAGCTGCAACAACAACTAATATTACTAACAAATTAATAGGAAGTGTTCTAACTTCCACATCAATTTTATAGCTTCATTCATGATTGTGATATTTCAAAAGTATCGTACTTACCGCCATATTATAGTCTTCGGTGACGAACACACTAAATTTAAACTTGCCCCCCTGCCAGTAGCCTTCGTCGGGGCACACGTTCAGAATGAATTCACTAAGAACGTTGTGGTCCTCAAAGTGGACAGAACACGTCGCCGGCAGGTTCTCATTCATCTCCTGCACCTCCTTCACCAGCAGTTTGTCCCTCACGGAGATTCTTTTTACGGACTCCACAGTTATACCATTCGTGATCGGGGGCTCAACATCTTTTTTCAATTTTCTATTAAGCGTAATCATGGTGTAACTTAAATATTAAAAACTAGGATAAATTTGAAACATATCAAGTGTGACAACTACAATGATTTCTTGAAATTAGTTTTACAAAACAAAGTACAAAAAATATTTTTGCCAGTTTTTTGCAAGCAAAATGCGAAATATCGTATGTCAGTCACCACAGATGTCACGACTGACAATTGACACAGTGTTGCCAGTCGGGTCTAGTCAGAAATTACCAGAAATATAAAAAAGAGTAACCTTTTTGAACAAAAAGTAACCTTTATACGGGGGGGGTCATCTAAATACGAAAAGTGACCAGTCGTATAAAAACGTTTCATGGATTTGCGTTTTATTATCGAAAAACATTCGCTAAAACTCATTTTTCTTAACAAATGATAAATCAAATTCAAGTTTAAATGCACTTTATGACATAATTTTTAAATTGTCACTATTAATATTTTTTACTGAATAACCTGTAAAGTTAATTCTACAATTTCTGAAAAATCACCTAAAAGTAACCTTTTCATTAGTGTAACCTAAAAGTAACCACAGCAGTTCAAAAGTAACCAAAAAGGTTACAAAAGTAACCTTCTGGCAACACTGAATTGACAGCTGGTTGATAGGGATGTGGTAGCGGTACAAAATCGAACAATAACGTACAGCGATTCGATCACATTCGGCATCACTTACTATCTACTTAGGATTCATCATGTTTCACTTGATGCGTATCATATTCCGTGATCCTTAAATGAAGCATTCGATACCAGCAGCTTTAGTAGGGGAAGGATAAGTGAAATTAAAACCCCATATAAAAAAACGCCCACGATTTACTGCTACCTATATCCTACCCTAGTCCATAGACTACAAACATCAATTCTGCCAACAGTGCCAACTGTCCAAGTCCAACGTCTATGTTGACATTGACATTTGACTTATCAAGAATCTGAATCAGCTGGGCTGGGAGTTTTCGTGAATTTCTTTATTTTGTGGCAGCGAAATAAAGTGAAAATAGAATTATTTGATATTATCATAACAAATAAATATGGCAGAAATATCGTGGCCTTGGCAGTATAATTTCCCACCGTTCTTTACGTAAGTAATTTTTGTCTTACTTGCTACAATTTCGTACTATTTGTGATTATAAAATGAGTCTTCTGGGTAAATCATGGAAATATATCAACGAAGGGAATGCTCACATTGTCATCAAAATAGAATCTTCAAAATACGTCCTTCGACTCATCAAAGAAGAAAGAGAAACTACAAGTTTGAAATGTGTAACAAATACCACTGAATTTGTAAACAAAGTAATGATTCCATTACTAACTATCCATGATAATGTCAATTATGACATCATTGAGATCTCTGAGAATGATCTAATACATTTATTAAAACGTTTGGAGGATGTTAGGCCAATACATAGAAAGATTAAATCAAACTTAAGCTGCTATGCCATTAGAGCTCCTAATTTATTAATAATTGGCCCACAATGTGTCTCAAACTACTGCATAGAGATTAAACCTAAAGAAGGCTTCATACCTTCCACTTTGAAGAATTCATCTAAATGTTTCTATTGTTTAAAGCAGTATGTAAAATTAAACAAGGGACAAATAGATAGTATTAGTGAATATTGTCCTTTAGATCTATTCTCGGGAAACAAAGAGAGAATGAAATCTGCCCTTTTAAGTCTAATGGACAACCCTCAGAACAATTTTAAATTCTTTAGAAATGAAGTTCTAGTTTTTAATGAAACATCATCAGTCAAAGATTTAGATGAGATCATGAAAGATATTTTGCCCTTTAGCAACTCAACCCATTTGTTCATTGACTTTGTGATAGCAATTTTACTCAGTAGTAATGAGGATGTACTCACTATGGAAATCCCAAAGGAAATGTCATCAACTAGATATAAAAATGAAAAATGCACTGAAGGTCATGAACTACCTGCTGATAGTTTCTTATACAAATTGCTCCGTATTCAAAAGCTATCAGAAAAGTATAACGTTGACAGTGAATCATTCCAAGAAAACACTGATTATGTTTCTGAGATATTGAATTATTTGGACTCAGAGAAAATAGATCTGAGCTCAGAGATGGCTAGAGAAACATTTTTCACTGCTGGTCACCCTCTGCACTTAGCAATGATATCTGCCATTGCCAAAGATTGTTCTATCATGATCAGCTTCACATTTGATGTCACTAAAGGGTTGCCAATTATAAATATTGGAGGTAACAAAGCATCCTACAGAATTGCTGTGACCGATTTAGAACCAAAATCAACTAAAACTCTGATGAAAAGAAAGAAAAATGAAAAGATGTTCTTTGAGCTCTACAAGAGTTTTCGGGAAATTGAACAGTAATGGAACAGAACATTGTAAGTATTCAATCATGGGCTTCTTCAACTGCAAAATCTCTCAAGTACCTACTGATATATACTGAACAGAAATCACAATATAGATAAGAAATGAAAATATTATTTATCACCTTTTCTATCTTTACAGAATCCAGCCACATTCCGAAACGAGAGCAAAGCAATTAGAAGCGTGGGAACAGTTGATAATAGACTACTTGAAGGCCACAAAACAGTCCACCATAGACATTAGAGAGTCACAGAATAGCCCTTTATTCAATAACACATCCATAAATAGAAAGTTATCGCAAGAAGCCATTCTGACTGTTTTAGATGACATGGTTAAGACGGGAAAGGCAGCGCCTATAGATAAAAGTAAAACTATATGGGAAATATACTGGCATTCGCTGGATGAATGGGGCAACATGGTGTACAACTGGGCCTGCAATAATGGAATGAATAACTCTGTTTGTACTTTATTTGAACTGAGGGAAGGAGACAACACTACTGATGAAGGTACCTTATTTGTTTTTATTTAAACTTCATGTAGGTATGTATATGTATTCAATCAAATACATATTTCATAAATTCTTTCTACCGTCAATGGATGTTGCAGGTCAGAAACTTTCGCAAATGATAATAATGTAGTGCAGACCTACCAGACTTATAAAATTGAATAAAGTATCAAAATCTGTTGTAATTATGTTAGTACTTACATTTTGTTTGTCTTTTCCAGAGTTCCACGGTCTAGACATGAACGTACTTGTGAAGGCACTAAAAACACTAGAACTGAAAGGCAAATGCGAACTGATAGAATTTGATGAAAACCAAGGTGTGAAGTTCTTCTGAGCGACTGTTAGATAGTGTTCCTACCCCCAGTTACTGACTTCGACGCAAAATTAACAGTTTTTAAAAGCAATACCAGAGGGTAAAACGCAGGTGCCTCACGAGTTACGAACTACCCGCGATTTCTGTTATTAATTTTTCTTAAACCCTATTGCATGAAATACTAAGCTGCATGTATTATGTCCATTGCCTATTCAGGGAATGATTAAAAAGTAATAACACAACAGGAATTTTAGTATCTAATTCATTGATATACCGCTAGATGGCGCTAACTAAAAGCTGATAATTTTCGTGGTGGAGCTCAGAAAACGGGGGTGAATCGATTAATATTGTAAGTACATTTTATTTTCTATATGAAAATGTTGAATGCATTTTGTTAAGTTATAGCTATTTTAATGTTGGAATATATTGCCTCATATTTTTTATACAGTCTTTTATTTCAATACATACCAATTTTTACACATGTTCAATAGTGTGGGATATAAAGGAATCATCAAGGGTTAAAATTGGAATTTTTTATTTCAATCAATCCGTGTAAAATTGTACAATTACAAAATGGATCACCTCAAATACATCTATTAGTATAAATTACATTAGAAAATCTAAAAACGTTACAACTCCAAAATGGTGTATTTTTTAATATTCAAAGATCATTTCGGCGGCACTCTCAATGATGGTAGATTCTTCTTTTCCTCATATTCCACTTTGAAGAAGCATAGTTACAGCTAAGGAATATTTTAAACTTACATATTTACAAAACTTAGTACAGTCACAGCAAACCAACCTACCATTAAAGACTTGATATTTTTACATGCGCCGACTGTACCATGCTGTTTTACATACTGTACCATGAAATTATATGTAAGTTATTTCTGTATTTGTGTGCTTTTTGTTCAGGTTAAATAGTATTAGAAACATTATTTTTTTTCATCTAACACTTGCATAAGTCCATACCTTTACACTTTTCATTTACTAATACAACCATTGACTTATCTATTTTATTATACCTACATCAAATTATAATATCCACTTAGGATTGTAGCCTCAAACGTCTTTGTTTGCATTACCAATTCAGTTCGACACTATAGTCCTGTGAGCACGTAGAATTTTGTTCAATGACCCCAAGCTACCCATCCTTATCGCTCGCGCGTAATTATGTTGCTGTCGCGCTCGCACACTCACTGCGGGCACCCGTCGCACAGCCGCGACAGCAATATATGTAATTACGCGCGAGCGATAAGGATGGGTAGCTTGGGGTCATTGGACAAAATTCTATGTGCTCACAGACCGGGCTTTATAACTATACATACATGTTTGTTTTATTTATGTATCAATTATGTTTTGAGACACACTTGTACTTCTAGATTTCCGTACTTTACGAACCACCACCACACATTCCTAATAGTTGAAAACTAAGGATATGTTAATAAATTTATATCTCAAAGCGATTTGGTCCATTCAAAATACCAATCTTGGTAAACGTACAGAAACCTATCGCTTATGCAACATGTCACAACTTCCAAGTTATTAGTTTATCAGTTTGAGTTTCCACGCTATGAGCTTTTTCCAATTTGTATTTATCTAAGGTGTGCCACGATATTTTAAAAACAATCATGTGACAAGGTAGACAAAGGATATAGATATCTACTTTAACTATAACTATACAAAAAAAGGAATAACTCTGACACACCCCATACCGCATTTGTATTTTTTAAATCTACACTACAATAATAAACAATCAGTCTTGAACCAAAATACACCTTTAACAACTATTGACACTCAACAAATAAGTTAAAAACTCTGTACACAGTGTACATACCTTAGGCCTAGTTATGTGATGCTAAAGTTAACACGTTCGTGGACACAAGAACAACTTACTTAAGTGGGTAGTTTGTAAAATGATAGTAGATAAATCCTTATTAGGTATTTCCCCTTGCTAGATGTCGACGTTTGTCATGCTAAATTTGTAACAAGCAAATCAGTACTCTAGCTAGGGCCTATTGAAGTTGTATCCACGAAAGTTTTAAACATTAATTACACTTATAAACCCTTAGTTGTAATAAAATTGCCGAAATGTTACAAATTGTACTCTATTTGACAACTAGGTATATTTTACATTCTTAAAACAATAGCAATGTCTGCAACTTTTATCCCTTAGTATATTTATTAAAATGGAATAAATAAAATTATGTAAAAAAAAATAACTTGTTAATGGATTCAACAGCATTAAATTGGGGGCCATAGTTGTTATTATAATATGATTATAAAATTTGAGCTAAGCACAAATACGAGTATAAGTAGCAGACATTTCTACGTATAAAATGCTATTGCAACCTATAGTAATTATTAAGACGTCCTATCTATTAGCTTACTCTAGTCTAACAACATCACAGATAACATTACAACAGAAATAATGATTTGGAATGATTCATTACATTTGATAATTAAACTAATAATTATTAATAATAATTGTGTAGTACATATAATATCGTGTACTTTTATTAGTTGCTTGCCTCGTTATTTTATTAATTAAAAATAATTAAATTTATTTACACACGCTTTAGATCTAAATAAATATAAATAATTTCGAGATGGAAATTCTCAAGAATAATAATTTTAAGAAAGTTTTTAAATAAATAACAAGAACGGAAATAATATTACGATGATACACAGAAGATAAATAATACATCAGAATGTTTTATGTATTTATAGAAAAAGATTGTGTTTCAATATAACTTTAGTATAAAAGCTAAATACCCAAGTAGGTATTAAGGTATAACGTCTCTGGCAGTGTTCTTCTATTTCATCGGTCAATTTGTATAGTGATGTGATGTAATTTACTTACTAAGTTACCACGAGATAGGTAGCTACTCAGTATCAAACAATATCAACATACTAAGCAGCTTGGCTCGTATTGACATGATTGGTAACTTTGTCTTCTAGTCCAGTCAATGAATGCCTTAACGACGGTGTAGAGAGAAATCCGTGGAACACAATTTCTGACCTCGGGACTTTATTTAGCCTAGTTAGGTGGTGAACATAGCAAAAGTCCCCGCCCTTAGCCCTTGAGCCGGCGGGGAGAGGGGGGTTTAAAGGTACCACTTTTCGGTTTTTCGCTTAATCCTCGGAAACTATGCGTCCTAGTGACATGACTACTATGAACCAAAAAAAGCTTATTCAATTTGCTACAGGCGAGACCGTCAAGTTTTTCTATATCTTGTATAGTTTTTGCGGCATCTGCTCTAGAAGGTCTGTAAAATTGGAAATTTAATTTTTGTCTTACATGTTCCTATCAGGAGAAAATCGACTAAATCAACATTGAGCAAACACTATAGACATGCGGGAGCATGTTAAGCCTAGTTCCAGGGAGGGGACTGCACCGTGCGTATATTTATACGAACCAATTGGAGCCACTTTTGACTCCTCATCATTCAAAAACTACTGTGCATTAACTCTTCAAATTTGGCTCATGTATTGAGACTTGCAAGATATACATCAGCTTTAAATTTCATAAATATACCTCAAACGGTTATTTAGGTATTGACGTTCAAAAATCGACATTTAGAACACTAAAATCTATCTATCACCTGTGAAATGTTAAAATTTACTGGTTTTTTATTTGTTCCTTTGTATTTACACATCTACCTATCTGGATGCCAAATTTGAACCTTCGAGATCATCTAGAAGTGGTTAGAATTTGGTATATAGGTCAGACATGTAGATTTTTGGACGTCAATACCTAAAGAACCGTTTGAGGCATATTTATGAAATTTGAAGCTGATGTATATCTTGCAAGTCTCAACACATGAGCCAAATTTGAAGTGTTAATGCACAGTAGTTTTTGAGTGATGAGGAGTCAATAGTGGCTCAAAGTGGTTCGTCTAAATATACGCACGGTGCAGTCTCCTCTCTGGAACTAGGCTTAACATGCTCCCGCATGTCTAGAATGATTGCTCAATGTTGATTTAGTCGATTTTCTCCTGATGGGAACATGTAAGACAAAAATAAAATTTCCACTATTACAGACCTTCTAGAGCAGATGCCGCGAAAACTATACAATTTATCAAAAAAGTTGACTATCTCACCTGTAGCAAATTGAATATGCCTTTTTTGGTTCATAGTAGTCATGTCACTAGGATGCATAGTTTCCGCGGATTAAGCGAAAAACCGAAAAGTGGCACCTTTAAACCCCCCTCTCCCCGCCGGCTTAAGGGCTAAGAACGGGGACTTTTGCTATGTTCACCTCCTAACTAGTCTAAATAAAGTCCTGAAGTCAGAAATTGTGTTCTATAGTTTTCCATCTATAATGCTTTATTGACTGGACTATTCCTTCCGTTAAATAGATAAGAAGCTCTCACTGTTACTAATGCTGACAGAGCATTCTTCCAAAAACGCAAGTGAAAACTTTTTCGAACACCAACCACACCAGCTACTGAGATTTCATACTCAATTACCATTTGGTATTCCAGTCACCATCAAAATCATTACGGTCACATAATCTACATACTTATAGATGCTCGCTACACTCTAAAGCTGCGTTACAATACCCGTTGCTAGTGACGTTCCCGTTGGCAACGCCGTTGCCGTTCACGACGTTGGTCCCGTTCGCAACGTTGCCGACGTTGCCGTTGGTCTTCTCGCCGCGGACCACGAGGTCCACCGACGGTACTATGGCGTTGCCGCTCTTTCCGCCAGGCGGGCGGTAGAACCACCACGCAAGGAAGAAGAAGAGAACGGAGCAGAGCTTTCCGATTAGCGCCAGAGCCAACATGTATCTGAAAATTAATAATAATAAGTAAATCAAGATGAATTAGTTTAGTTATATCCCCAGTCATATTTGAAGACAAAGCAATAATCGTCAGTTACGATCACGAAAGGCCCATAAAGTTAGTCGTGCCGCAGGCCTGGTCATACAGTGAGATCGACACGTCGTACGTAATTAACTCTGGTTCACTATACCTAGCACGCGCCGCAGGACTGAGCCTCCTGCTATAGGATTTATTGTATCAAGCGCGAAGGACCATCCCTTCGTATGGGGGGCTAACATTACCAGCTCATGTTAACGTTATCATACAGCAGGTAGGCCCCAGTGGCGCCGTAGGGCTGGTCCCACAGCGAGCACGACAGGTCGATGAGGAAGCCTTTACTTCACTAAAGACCAAGACGCGCGAAAGACCAGACCTTCAGATAAGGGGGCTAATGTTACCTGCTCATGTTGACGTTGTTATAAAGCAGGCAAGTATCAGTGGCGCCTCAGGTCTGGTCAATGAGGAACCCTTTGGTTCACAATTGCTAACATCGAAGATCAGGCTCACCTGTTCATGTTAAAATTGTCATACAGAAGGCAGGCCCCGGTGATTTTGTCCTCGGCAAGAAAGGTTGATGAGCAAGACTTCACTTTACCCAGCGCAAGGACTAGACCTTCAGATAGGGGGGCTAACGTTACCTGCTCATGTTGACGTTGTCATACAGCAGGCAGGCACCGGTGGCGCCGCACGCCTGGTCCCACAGCGAGCACGATAGGTCGATGAGGAAGCCACAATGGTTCACTATCCTAGTCCAAAATATGGGACCTTCAGGTGGGCAGGCTATCATTACCTGCTCATGTTGACGTTGTCATACAACAAGCAGGCACCAGTGGCGCCACAGGCCTGGTCCCACAGCGAGCAGGACAGGTCGATGAGGAAGCCGAACAGCAGCGGCGCGGGGATGGTGCCCAGCAGACGCACCTTGATCCACTGGATGCCCAGCGCGAACGAGCGCTGGTCTTCCCGCACGCATCTGGAAAAGAAGTTTAAAAGGATTGGAAGATGCCCCAACTCGTAGGCTAGTGTGGGGAGTGTAAGCCAAAGCCACCATTTTTTTCTGGTAAATTAGAGAAGGTTATTCTCCTGAAGGGGAGACCTGATAATGATGGTGATTGAAGATTTCTTATCTTGCAAAAGTGTCAAAATTCTATGAAACTTCTTTTTATCGTCAGTCGTGACGTGAAGGAGTAGTTAGTAGGGCAAGTAATATTTTCGACTCTGATGTTTCGTCTGTTTCTCTCTCTCTCTTCTCTATCTACTCTTGCATGGAAAAATATATCAGAACAGCCTATTATCGTGTCTAGGCTAGACCTAACCTGCCTCTCCAACCCGTCTGGCCAGCGTGGGGAGTGTAAGCCAAATCCTCAATTTGCCTCTGGTAAATTAGAGGGTCGTGCTCCTGCAGGATGATGATAAGACTAGACCTTTGGTTTGAATAAATTGTAACGACATATCAGAAAGACAGCATAGAGGAAATGCTACACTTTCCGAAGAGAACCAACCTCAAAGTAGCGGAGAGCGCGGGCATGGTGGCGAGGAAGGTGAACAGCATGACGCAGAAGGACAGGAACACGAACAGCCACAGGTACGGGCAGTCCGTGCTGCACGGGCTGTTGATGGCTTCGTACGACGTCGACGAGTTCGCTGCAACAAACGACTCTATTAAAATTGCAATGGCGCTTATTTTGTGTGCAGAAAACAATTATAACCGAAAGACACGGGGCTTTGTTAACAGGACTTATCACTTGGCGCTATTCAAGAGTAGGTAGGTCGATTGAGTGCCGAGAACTCTGTCAAATAGACTGCACACTTCTAAAGTTAGATCCCTCTAGACAAAGTCTATATGTAAGAACGTCACAGTCTTAATTCCGCTTCGCTCCAGATTTTTTGGTCAGTTAGGAGTCAATTTACCTACTTACGAATTGATTAGAATATTAGATACTTTGATTTGGGCGGTAGAAAAACCGTCCTTGTCGCACACCGGCGCGTAGCGGGTGCCTTAAGATAACTCTTTAGATTAGAATCGTCTGCAAAGCACACCTGCTATTGAACAAGGTATCCATCTCTACTCACCTCCATCGAGCTTGTAAGTGGGCAGCGTCCCGTTTATCGGCGCGATACAGTCGCAGCGTCGGAACAGCTGCGCGGTGCCGGCCAGCGTTCGCTCGTGACACCCGGCGTGACAGGCTGAGTAATACACGACGCTGTCCGTAGCGGGCGTCTAAAGAGAGAACTTTTCGTAGTCGTCTGCAAAGCACACCTGCTGTGGACAATGCGTCCTTCTCCACCTACCTCCATCAAGTTTCCAAGTGGGCAGTGTCCCGTGTATCGGCGCAATGCAGTCGCAGCGTCGGAACAGCTGCGCGGTGCCGGCCAGCGTTCGTTCGTCACACCCGGCGTGACACGCTGAGTAATAAACGACGCCGTCGGTAGCGGGCGTCTAAAGAGAGAACTCTTCGTAGTCGTCTGCAAAGCACATTTTCTGTGAACAATGGCATCCATCTCTACTCACCTCCATCGAGCTTGTAAGTGGGCAGCGTCCCGTTAAGCGGCGATATGCAGTCGCAGCGTCGGAACAGCTACGCGGTGCCGGCCAGCGTTCGCTCGTGACACCCGGCGTGACAGGCTGAGTTGTATACGACGCCGTCGGCGCCGCACACTGGCGTGTAGTCATCTAAAGAGAAAACTGCAGTCGTTTGCAAAGCACACCAGCTGTGAACGTCTGTCTCTACCTGCCTCCATCGAGCTTGTAAGCAGGCAGCGTCCCGTTTATCGGCGCAATACAGTCGCAGCGTCGGAACAGCTGCGCGGTGCCGGCCAGCGTTCACTCGTGTCGTGACACCCGGCGTGGCAGGCCGAGTAATATACGACGCCGTCCGTAGCGGGTGTCTAAAGAGAGAACTCTTCGTAGTCGTCTGCAAAGCACACCTGCTGTGAACAAAGCATCCATCTCTACTCACCTCCATCAAGCTTGTATGTGGGCAGCGTCCCGTTTATCGGCGCTATACAGTCGCAGCGTCGGAACAGCTGCGCGGTGCCGGCCAGCGTTCGCTCGTGACAGCCGGCGTGGCAGGCTGAGTAGTACACGACGCCGTCGGCGCCGCACACCGGCGCGTAGCGGGAGTCCGCGCAGCCGCAGCCTGAGTTGCAGCTGGCGGAAAGCCGGTCGCCGCTGGAAATTAAGTAGCATTTAAGAAGGTGTAGTTAAATTGGATCTATGATGGATCGAGATTGCTCAGAAGATGACTGTTTACCATACCTTGAAGGTCGTAGGGTTAAAATAAGAGTTCGGAATCACAGAGGAAGGCAGGCCACTCCAGGATTCAAACGGCACCGCCATTTCCATGCACCGCACCGCAAAACTTATCAAGTGAGGGCCAAGTTTGTATTACAAATCCTACAGCGTCTGTGCAATCTCACAGCCTGAATACTAAAATCTATTATCTAGCGAGCCCACTCACCCCGGCACAGCAGGCGAGTTGTACCGCACCGTGACACCCGCAAAGGGGTAGTCGTCGCATGTTAGCACGAAGCTGACGGTGAAGACAGCGGCAATGACGGTGGCCGCTACGCACAGCCGGATGATGCCGGCGCACGACAGCCGCCAGCGCTTCACCAGCCAGCCGCCCGCGAACGTGCCGCCACCGCCCGCTGGCACCGTTATCACTCCTGGAAAGTTTTATTTAAGTAAGATTGTACCTGGTCTATTGTTTTCAGAAGCCACAGTCTACGTCTAAGATTGAGTAGCCATAAATTCTGACCTTATCATCATATATCCTCTAATGTCAAGAGTGGCGCTACTTAGCAGACAGCAATAGCAGAAAGAAGTGAATGTTTATGTTTTACTTAACTTTCATAAATATCAAATTGGATGCATGAATAATACGGATTAGACTCTTTTGCGTCACTGGAAAAATCTAATCAAGTGAAAATAAACTTCCGAGACCTTAACTTGCCGAACTGGAAAAAATCCCTACTCGTAACTTTGTTTTTTTTATCGACTTCTAAAAAGGAGGAGTTGTTTTTTTGCCAGATTGCATGCTTTTAGGGCAAACATAGTTTATCTACTGCTACTACTTACCTAAAAGTAGCGCCGCTTCAGAAGCGCTAACCGCGAACTGATTCTCAATAAGCTTAGGCAGGAACGCAGCGAAGCCCGATATGAGCATGCCCTCGCTGGCACCTGCTAGATTCAGGAACAGGAACGTGGGATTCCGCAGCAGCGCTGCAGCGGCGCGCGGCAGCTCGTGGAGAGCGCTGAAAGCCGCTGACTTGGACGCCGCGCCCTCGTGGGCTTCGGAAACTTTTGACGCTCGGATTTCGTCGGCACCTGTGCAGGTAAAATTTACATTAACTACTCACACAACTTTGTTACAAACAATCATTTTTGAAGGCAGCAATTTTTTTTTCTTAAAAATATTTTCGAAGTTGAGCTCTCAAATACCTACTTAAATGCGGGTAGGTAGGTGTTTATCGAAAGACAAACCTGTCTACCCTCGTAATACGTTTGACACTGTTACCACTGTACCTCTAGCACGAAAAACTTTCTTCTTCGAATCGTTTGCGTAAGTGATAAAATTTGATATCCAGCCTTCGAATTCAACGATAACACGATAACGTGACGATCTCGATTGTCAAAATAACTTTCGTGCTACGTTTAGGTACGTCACGTTCACAGGGGCGTACTAAATCTTTTGATGGCGATTAGACTAAGCAAACGATTCGAAGTGAAAGTGTTTCGTGCTAGAGGTACTGTCCACTAATACACTCGAACTTGTTCTCATTACACAAAAGTAACTATAATCGATCACGATAAAGGTCCGATTGCGAGCATGGTATTACCTGGCAGCTCATAAGGGAAGGCCAGCAGTGGGACAGCGACGATGAGGCACAGTACGGCTGATAGAATGAATCCCACCCACCACGCACCAATCCACACCGAGCTCGCCGGAGTGATTCCCAACCTGAATATAACGGAGAACATTTTAATTGCAAGGGTTGTTTTTCATGCCCTCCTATATTCGTGAAACGTAAAAGAAAACAATTTTTATTTCATAGTAGGTAAGAGACTATCTACCTGCTTCGCATAGATTTCACAACCATCTAAGAAAGTATTAGCCTTAACGTTGACCTAGAGATCGCCTCTGTCACCCTTTGCTTAAGGAGTTAGTTATTATGCTTTAAATAATCAAATCCTGGCCCTATAATACTTACTCAGCAAATTGCTACAGTATGCAGTACCTATGCACCCTTGATGAGCCGTTGCGTATGTATATGTCAACGTGAAATTGTAAACTCTGTCAGTTTATAATATAACGCGTTAGATTGTAAACTAACAGTGTGTTAGGTTAGGTTAGATTGTAATTTAACTACGTCAGTTTATAATCTGACGGAATTCACAATTTTACGGTTACATATAGGTAGGTAGGTACGTATGTCTACACCTGTATCAATAAGAACGCGAACTTTCCATAAAGTTTGGCACTCAAATGCCGGATAAGCGCAATGTCGCGGCGTTTCAAGGCTTGCGTGGATAATAGCACCTCATTTCGAAGGTATCATGCATGTCATTAGAGAGTTTTAGGTCGGTTCATATCTTGCAATTTCGAACTCCTCTTTGCAGGTTACACCTAATGCTTTGACTGATACATCAAAAAGGGTAATTAAATTATAATAAGTAAAGTATATTCTATGTCTAGGAAGGAAGTTCGCCTGGCCGTGGCTTTAGTGTAGTCCGTAGTCCGTCCACGAGGCCAGGTGGTCGGCATTAATTAATTTTACCCAATAGAGCAAATCTCTCTATTAAGTTTTGACTACTTGAGTAAACATGAATATACCTTCTTATGTAAACGAAGTAAATGCATCTGTGTTGTGAGTCAAGTCACTCAACTCAAGTCAAGTCTGCTGTTATGACTTGTCGTAATTACGCGGCAACAGCCGGTGTTTTCTTATGCAAATCTGACCGATGCTCTCAGTGCAGACGGACTCACTTGAGAAGAGGTCCTATTCTGGAGTCAGTAGACTTGAAGGCATTCGAAAACAATTTCAAATACTGAGCTTCCTTGTACACTACAATATTATGTAGGCAAGTAAAAAGATTTTCGGGGGAAGTTGATTTGTCTTCAAAAGAGAATATGAATCAGGTACGTTTATGAAAGTAGAAAACTATCCTATAATAGGTACTACATAGTGGCATTAAGAATTGAAACTGTGTGCTAACAGTTTTTTTAGTTACAGGTGATGATAAATATTTGTGTAACAATTTGTCTCTCTCCAATACACACGTCTCTATGTTATGTCAACTCTCTATCACCTATCTTTTTCACTACTTACAACAAGAATATAAATTACAATAATTCAGTTTCAGTAAAACCAAAATCGTAGGATCGAGTCAAGAATCGGCTCCAGGGTCCTTATGAAAACAAAGTGGACGTCTATGGGCTGCGGAGATGAATTAAAACAATACGCCGATCTCGGCCATTGAATTGCAAATGGCCTCACCCTACGTCTGTTTTTATTTCAAAAACAAGTTCTTTCGGTCCAACAATAAACTTCAGAGTTTGTTCTAAAGTTTATCCAACCAAGTTCTGTGTAAGTAAGCAAGCGCCATATCGGCAAAAAAAGAAGTTAAGAAATTATGATTAATCGCATAACGAATTCATATTACCTAAGCTTAGATTTCTTAATTTTAATTAACTCTCATCTCTTCCAATCACAACATGAAATAAAAATAGGTACTGGCTGGTATTGGGTTTAAGAAGCTTTACAACTCCAGCTTTATAATGAAATCAAATTTTCAAATTACGAACGCGCCATAAATTAAAAGTGAAGCCATACCGAAAAGGTCGTTCAAAACTCGGCGCGCGGAAAATCATATTTCGTTGCAGAAGCCATGGAAGTATAAACGGGGAATTAATTTGGCTGAAAAGTTGCTTGGAGAGCGCACAATGAGATGAAAGCGAGAGGGCAAGTTGGCTGAATGAAGCCGCGCCATCGCCGGTGAAATATTAAAAACGCAGGACTGCCGTGCGCGGGAAAACGACTCATTTTGAGGTTATGCGCTCTCTTCATCTCTGTTGGTTGGACACAAATTGAGTTGTTAACCGAACAAAATTAAATAAGAGACTACGACTTATTTAGAAAGGATTTTAAATGATCAAGGAATATTTTTTTAGACTGATAAGTTCCTACGAGTATACGCACTTAGTTTCAATTTTATTCTTCTTTGTAAAAAAGCATGGCATTTCATCAAAACTGTTCACAGTTTGCAGTAAACAACAATAGTTTTGTAAGTGAGGTAATTTAAGTAACATACCTAATAATCAACCAGTTTAACAGCATAATAAAATGTCAAAATACTTACCTACTCGTAAAAGTCAATTTAAATCACAAACTTACGTGTCAGAGTCGACGGTGACGAAGTCCGTGTAGATCTTCAGCATCTGTCCTCCGAGCACGTAGCCCAGCGCTGGGCCCACCACTGCCATCGTGTAGTACACGCCTGTCAACAATGTTATTACAAGTTTGAACTGGACGGAACTTTTCACTCTGACATTATCTGGGCAAGCCAACAAAAAAGAAGTTGTTAGGGAAGATCATTTTACGAGTATACATAAAGTCACTAACAAAACTGAGCCCGCAACTTCGTACGCGTGAGAATAGTTTTTCCCGTTTTCGCAACATTTTTCATTGAAATTCTGTTCCCATTTTAAGTATTGCTCGTGACGTGATGGTATACTCGTATAGCCTCTCGATAAATGGGTTATTATTTATTATCAAACACAAAAATAGTCCATCAAATTAATGACCAGTTGTTATTGAGATTAGCGCGTTTAACCAAACAAACAGCTGAAGAGTTTCTTCAGCTTTATAATTTTCACGATAAGAAAATTCGTGTTTTATTTGGAAATTGTACTGTGAACATATTAAGTAGGTGCTCGTATGTATGCATTTATGTATGTGCATAGCCCTTGAAGAGCCTGTGAAAGCTTGTTTGAAAGGTTAATGGTGAGGAAATCGACACCTAGGGTGCGTTGCTCTCGTGCACTAAAAGATTTCAGTGTTTCCCGCGAGTGCGGGCGACACTCCGCATTGTTCCGAGTTCCGAACAAACACCATCGGCGATATCACGTTCCTCGGAGTCTTAGGACCACTTGAGGGCTGTATTTTCACAGTTAAAAGCCGGGGGAGGGGTTGTAGTCCAGTGGTATAGCTGCTGGTATAGTATGTTTAGTTACTACATCTTTTCAGTTGAAAATGTAAAGTTAAAACATTATTGTCTCACAAAAGATAACTTGTTTTTACAAAAGACCCAGTGCGGTAGACTGGTAAGAAAAATAGAATAAGTAAACAGAACAAAAATTAAAATATGCGACGGTTCAAGTACCTAGCAAATGAACGAACAATTTTCATGGTAGCGGGGCTACAATACACAAATGAACAGTGATCCTTTAGTTGGCATCAGAATAGCGGACATAAGGTAATCAAGGCACGTTATATTCCCCATTAAAGTAATACAATCGGGCTTTGTTCCCGTTCCCGCCATTCACGGGGGAATGAAACGTCAGTCAGGAACGTATCCGAATCGAATAATATCGGATTCGAGTCGTCACCTACACAAGGAACAATGGGGCGAAACCGATCTATCCCGGGTAAATAAACATCGCCGGCGGATTGGTTCCGTCAGAGGTCTAGTGTGGGTGGTAACAGAAACCAGAATTTTATTGTGCTTTGATACCAATACCAAAATTAGAGACATTGAAATTAGTTTTTCATTGAAATCTGACTAAGGCAAGTCTGAAACTTTCAGCCCTTGAATGATTTTTCAATGAACTAAATTAATTACTTACTCTATATACCCTATCAAACAAATATTACGAATAAATTAGATATTTTGATTTTAATTTGAAACAATGCTGACTAAATTAATTTGTGCTTTATAACTGTAATCAAAATTCACTCAAACCAGTAGATAATTCTACCATTATTTAATAAATAAATAAATAAATAAATATCTTTGGACATTTTACACTACGCCGCTAGCCCCAAACTAAGCAAAGCTTGTACTATTATTTATTTATTTAATCTTGAATGCCATATTACCTACATACCTATGGCGAACTTACTGCCACAAGTAAGGCTTTTTTTGCTAGATAATCTTAGTTAAAAGTCAGGCAGATAACCAATTAAATCACTGAAAGAAAGAAATAGTACAAACCTATTTCATTATTTACTGAATTCTAATGTTCTAATGACACTTTTTAATTCCGAGTTTTCCGGCCAATTTAGGTTCTGGTATCTTGCTAGAACGTACCATTATACATAGTTTCTGGTATCTAATCCTGAAGTGTGCCTGCACTCCGGCCGAGACGTCACCGCGCGGCATGCATCGGAAATGCAGCCAAATGCATTTCCGCAATCGCAACTCGATTAATTGCATAGGTAAATTGACAACGCGCTGAGCCGGAATCATCGGGACTCGGGAGTGTGCCAGCCTTAGATGGATCCTTCTAACTATAGCTAGGTAAGTCATCATCATCATCATCTCAGCCATAGGACGTCCACTGCTGAACATAGGCCTCCCCCAATGATTTCCACAATGGCCCGTTGGTGGCGACCTGCATCCAGCGCCTTCCCGCTACTAGCTACAGGTAAATAGCACTAAGTGACGTATTCTTTGAAGCAAGATTACCTACAAATTTATTTTTGAAAATTTAAAATAATTACGCATTTTCTTTTACTTGTAATTATACTATGTACTGGTTCTCGATTCACAACACAATTTATTAAAAACCGTATTTACAAAAAAATACTTGTCAATATTTTGTGTCATAAAATAAAATGGGCCTTGAAATATTTTTGTAATTAAAATTATAGTTCTAGTTAATGATACTTATTACATTGACAATTAAAGAGGTAATTTATGTCCATAAACATTATAATTTTATTAAAGATATTAAGTTTCGACTTGACATTATTTTATATAATATTTCCACGTAATTTATTAGTGGCATTATTGAACTCAACAGACTTATCGATGCATTAGTATCTTTAGGAACTCAATGTTTATTAAACCATTAAAAATAAAATGCAACATTACGTCACTAAGCGCTAAAAGAGCTTACCTAACACCATCATGAGCTAAAAGCCTATAGCAATATTTCCCGGCGTTCACAAAGTGGCTTGTCAAACTGTACCTTATGGCCATAAAAATAAAGTCGCCGAGCATGTGGATTGTGCGAGATACGGTTACGACCGCAGGCGCACATAACGTGGAGTGCTTTCCTCTGTAGCGGCTCCCGCGGCGCTGCGACTCTATGGCTCCAAGATGACGTTAATGTACACACAAATTACTGATATAAGCACCAGGCTTGATGGCATAAAGTTTTGTTACATATTTTAGTAAGCCAATGTAAATTTAGACTTGCATGGGAACAGCGGTAGCTTCATAGATGAAACCATACGTACCTACTTAACAAGACTCCAATGAACAAGATTCTATTTTGTAGTCACTTCGGTAGAACACCCTATTTTTTTAAGTAAAAAAGAAAATGTTATGAATCAGTGATTGTAGAGCGAAGAAAGCATTAAACGTGCGTGTAAAACTTTTCGCCACTTTACTTAGTTGTCGCTTAGGTAAAGCAGTTACTTTCAGCTTTGTTTAGTTAAAGGAGCTTTCAGTTTATTATACTTGCACTGACGTATTGCAAACGTTACACATATCACTGTTACATTGTCTTTATGAGGTAGGTAAGTGATGGATGTACCTTCCAAAAGTGTACAATCAAACTTTTTAAGTATGCCTAAATCTCTCTCAGATGTTGCGTTATAAGTCAAAGATTTTCTTACAGTGCTTCTTTTCAACACTGACCCATTTCTTTTCCCGAATCAGTGGTACGGTTAAATTAAAACTGGGACATGTAAAAGCGCTTTTTAGAAGTGTTGCAGAAATTAATTAATTTTATGACTTTACGACTTTTAGTTAAACAATCAAGGTACATATTACGCAAAACTGACGGCCGATGGGGCAGCAAGGTTCTGGAGTGGACGCCGCGGAAAATGCAGCATAGGACGTCCACCCACAAAGTGGACCGAAATGTAGCAGGAAGGCGCTGTACGCAGACCGCCACCAACCGGTCAACTTGGAAATCATTGGGGCCTATGTTCAGCAGTGGACGTCCTATGACTGAAATGATGATGATGATGAATCGACGCACTCACCCAAGTACACTGAGGACATCTTCTTGGACACGTTCTCGTCGATGTACGTGACGCCAAGCGTGAACAGCGGCGTGGCGCCGGCGCCGTGCAGCAGCTGCGCCGCCACAAACACCACCACCGCCCACGAGCCGCTCTCCGCCGCCGCCGGGCCCTGGCAGCGGTGGCTGGACTAAGGACAAAATATCATAATCATAATCATTTATTAATAATATGGAGACAACTAGCACGTAAGTAAGTATAGGTTAAACGCCAAAAAACTCAACTCAAAACGCTCAACTGAGAACGAAGATGCTACCGAGAGAACCAGACAGCAATGGTTCGACTATGGGCCAATGAAGCCACAAACGGCACAATACTACACAACCCTTATTTTTTTGCGCTTGCTTTAAATTCTTTGTGTGTTAAAGCTTTATTTCACTGACAAAGAAAAGAAGGAAACTAAGCTGTTTATTGTACCTAGTCTAGGCGCGTTAGAAATAAATACATTATAAATGGAGGAGGATATTTTTATAACACAATGTGGTAACGAAAATGAAAATAAACAAGAAATAGAGCATCATAAATAAACAAGAAATAGAGCAGAAAGAATCACTTTACGAGTGTGTTGTAGAAATTATAAGTTTATAAACGTAACGCATTATTTATCTCATTTTAGTGAACCCCAAAAATAACTGGTTATTTTTAAAAGGATTTAGACATTACGGCAATAATAGATTTATCAAAAAACGCAACGCGCGTAATAAATGCGCTGTTACGAGCCTAAACGATGCAATTAGAGACGCTTTACGAGCAAATGCCTCAAAAATAATTAAAACGTAAAAGTTGTTTTTCATTTATTTGATAAAAAATTACCAAAAATACCTACCTAATTACGATTAGTTACGTACTTGTGTAATAGAGAACAAAAGCGTAAGTTACGAGCTAAGCTCTATTATAGTCCTCAATAGGATCGGAAATTGTAATCTGTTCCAAGAGCTCGACAAGTATCAAACAACGCGCATCAAATATAGTATTAAATGCGATTAGTCGACAATAGGTGCAGCCACTGGGACCTCGGGGACATAGCCTGACGAAATCCGAAAGCTAATCAAGTCAATATAATTTAATTCTTATAAGAGATGTCCTAATCTATATTTGCGTTTTTCCTGAAAAACGACATGTTTTCGGGAACAATTTTATAGTATGGTTACCTAAACGGCAAATCACGGCAAATTTTTACCTAAATTATTAAGATTTGTACACTGTTTTTTCGCTTATTAAATACTTATTTACTAAACTAGCTCTGCACACACTATTAGGCTGAGTTGCACCATCTTATTTTGACTTTAACAAACGTCAAAAATCTGTCAAAATCCATACAAAAAGCACCGGTTATTGTTAAAGTTACGGTCAAAGTAAGTTGGTGCAACTCAGCCTTAAACCCGCAAAAGTAAAGGAAAAGAACCTACCTACCTCGCTATGAACCTAAGTACCGACATTCAGCAGAACTCAAAAATAGGTTCACCAAACTTGTAATTTGGTGAATAAATATTGAATTACAAGTTACATGACCACCAGTTATTATTCGCGCTCTACACTACAGCGCGCGAACTCGATCTTTTACCTGTAGCGTCGTAGCTCTACATTAATATTATGTGGTGGCTGTTCTCCCCGCTCTCTACCGAAGGACAGGCTCATTGTAGTCACGCCCGAGCGTTCAGCTGGTTTCCTATGGCAACCTGCGATAGCCGTCAACAAATTGCGCCTCGAAGTTGTCGTCTCCCCGCGTCGAGTGGTTGTTAAATGAGATAGAATTGATCTGAGGCACCGATGTGTAAAAATATTTGCAATTACTTTGCTTTAAGCAATAAGTAAGTCATGTTAAGCCACTTCACAATGTTGACTGAAAACCGACAAAGCTGATGTTACAAAGTTTTTGTCAGATTCCATTAAATCTGCGACGCTGGCGGACGTCAAAAAGTTGCAAACAATCCGACGGCTGAGCTTTGATTATTGGCGTTCGATCCCTTTCACGATGCTTTTAGCTGTCGGTAGAAATTCTGGGCAGCTTTGTTTATGTTTTGTTCTGCGGTAGTTAGTTATGTAGGTAATCGTTTATTATGTCTAAGTGGTCGGTTTGCTGAAGCAAGAGACGACAGTCTATGGAAAACAGTATTATTGCACAGAATACAACACGCTTCCCAAAGCAAATTATGCTTTACCAGTACCTAGACATAACCAGGCGTTATCTGGGCCTTCTTGAAGCTAACCTTACGATGACGAAGGTACTCTATTCGTCTGTAGGTAAATACGTCGTCCTGTCACTACGAAAAATCTGAATGTCCAGCACTTACCACAGTCTGATTGACAGCGCATCATCCTCGCGTTCCTCTCCCGCCACTCTATAAGGGGCGACGAGGAAGTGCGGCAGCGCGAAGAGTAGAGAGCCCACGCCCATCAGCACCTGCTGATCTTCTTGTCAATCTTTCAGACCCTACCCAATAAGTTTATGTCATCAACCCTACTGATAGTACCTACCTACTCAGTTTATCTACACAGTCTGGTTAACAGCGCTGATATCCTCAAGCTCCTCGCCCGCCTCTCTGTAGGGGGCCACGAGGAAGTGCGGCAGCGCAAACAGCAGCGAGCCAGCATAAAACTACTAGCCTATTAAATAATGTTGATCACATACCACAGTCTGATTGACAGCGCACACATCCTCAGGCTCCTCGCCCGCCACTCTATAAGGAGCCACGAGGAAGTGCGGCAGCGCGAAGAGTAGAGAGCCCGCGCCCATCAGCAGCACGCCCCAGCCCAGCCAGCGAGGCTTGGACGAGGAGCCCCGTCCGCCCAGGTAAGGTTCCGCGCCCATCAGCAGGTAACTTCTTTACGTACCACTAGCCCCGTCAGCAACCCACTGGTCCTACCTACTCAGTTTACTTATACTAATATTGAACACATACCAGTCTGATAGACAGCGCGCACGTCCTCAGGTTCCTCGCCTGCCACTCTATAAAGAGCCACAAGGAAGTGCAGCAGCGCGAACAGCAACGACCTAGTACAACACAACTATTGTTCAGCACTTACCACAGTCTGGTTAACAGCACAAACATCTTCAGGCTCCTCGCCTGCCACTCTATAAGGAGCCACGAGGAAGTGCGGCAGCGCGAAGAGTAGAGACCCCTCGCCCATCAGCAGGTAACTTCTTTACGTACCACTAGCCCCGTCATCAACCCACTGGTCCTACCTACTCGTTTATTTAAACCAATATTGAGCACATACCAGTCAGATAGACAGCGCGCACGTCCTCAGGTTCCTCGCCCGCCACTCTATAAGGAGCCACGAGGAAGTGCAGCAGCGCGAACAGCAACGACCTAGTACAACACAACTATTGTTCAGCACTTACTACAGTTTGGTTGACAGCACAAACATCTTCAGGCTCCTCTCCCGCCACTCTATAGGGGGCTGCAAGGAAGTGCGGCAGCGCGAAGAGTAGAGAGCCCGCGCCCATCAGCAGCACGCCCCAGCCCAGCCAGCGAGGCTTGGACGCGGAGCCCCGCCCGCCCAGGTAGAAATTCCGCGACCATTAGCAGGTAACTTCTTTACGTACCACTAGCCCCGTCATCAACCCACTGGTCCTACCTACTCAGTTTATTTATACTAATATTGAGCACATACCAGTCAGATAGACAGCGCGCACGTCCTCAGGTTCCTCGCCCGCCACTCTATAAGGAGCCACGAGGAAGTGCAGCAGCGCGAATAGCAGAGACCTCGCGCCCATCAGCACCTGCTGATCTTCTTGTCAATCTTTCAGACCCTACCCAATAAGTTTATGTTATCAACCCTACTGCTAGTACCTACTCAGTTTATCTACACAGTCTGGTTAACAGCGCTGATATCCTCAGGCTCCTCACCCGCCTCTCTGAAGCGGGCCACGAGGAAGTGCGGCAGTGCGAACTGCAGCGAGCCAGAACAAAACTACTAGCCTATTAAATAATGTTGATCACATACCACAGTCTGGTTAACAGCACAAACATCTTCAGGCTCCTCTCCCGCCACTCTATAAGGAGCCACGAGGAAGTGCGGCAGCGCGAAGAGTAGAGAGCCCGCACCCATCAGCAGCACGCCCCAGCCCAGCCAGCGAGGCTTGGACGAGGAGCCCCGCCCGCCCAGGTAGAAATTCCGCGACCATCAGCAGGTAACTTCTTTACGTACCACTACCCCCTCATCAACCCACTGTTCCTACCTACTCAGTTTATTTATACTAATATTGACCACATACCACAGTCTGATTGACAGCGCAGACATCCTCAGGTTCCTCCCCTACCACTCTATAAAGAGCCACAAGGAAGTGCAGCAGCGCGAATAGCAACGACCTAGTACAACACAACTATTGTTCAGCACATACCACAGTCTGATTGACAGCACAAACATCTTCAGGCTCCTCGCCTGCCACTCTATAAGGAGCCACGAGGAAGTGCGGCAGCGCGAAGAGTAGAGACCCCGCGCCCATCAGCAGGTATTTTCTTATTACGTACCACCAGTNGGACACCCTAACCACCAGCCCTATCATCAACCCTTCTGATCCCATCTACTCCGTTTAATTATATTAATGTTGTACACTTACCACAGTCTGATTGACAGCGCAGACATCTTCAGGCTCCTCGCCCGCCACTCTATATGGAGCCACGAGGAAGTGCGGCAGCGCGAAGAGTAGAGACCCCGCGCCCATCAGCAGCACGCCCCAGCCTAACCAGCGAGGCTTGGACGCGGAGCCCCGCCCGCCCAGGTAGGTCACGGGCGCCAGGCACGCGAAGGAGGCCATGTCGTATCTATAAGAAGGAAATTAACATGACAGTCCATCTAAAAAAGGAATGAACATCTGGTATTTTGGACATAACAAAGACAATAATAAACACAAAGTGGAAAATTGCAATAAGATTTACAGAAAAATTCAATTCATTTTTCTGTAAATCTACAAGAAGAGAGTCTGATGGATTTGGATATACTTAGATTGATTGTTTAACTTGATGGTTGTATGGTATGTATGCAGTTATTCAATGATGTAAACCTTGTTCATGACAATAAAGAATTAATGATGGCTGATTGATAGACGATTATAATAATCTACCAATATGAATAATTTAACATTATGCTCTTTCTGATAATTCATCACTATCATGAATTCAATAAAAATGTGTAATGTTCACTCTACCAACTTTACATTTTTCGTGAGTTTGGTGAAAGAACGTTACTCGTAGAGTTAAGTTATTTTTGGACCAAAATTTTGAATCTTTAACTGTGTTTATATATTTAATATTTATTTAAAAGATCACCAACAATATTAGGTACATCATAAACTAGATAATAAATTATGTTTATTTAGGGTAAACCGTATAGCTATTGCCCACTTAAAGATTTCAAACACATTGAGATGAAAAATTAAAGAAAGTATTTTAATTATCGACCATTTATGACTTTTTTCTTATAACTCAATAAACTGTTAAACAGAATATTAACAGTTTTTAGTTAAAACTTACGTAACTTAGAAAATATTGAAATAAATTTAAAATCCTCCAAAAAGTACAGTCATTGCCCATTACTTACACTAATTGCCCACATCAAAGCACAGTAATTGCCCAGTATCTTAAAACAAAATAATCAATTTTAAAATGACAAAATAGGCTTTAAATAAACAAAACAAAACATTAAACTTAAATTCTAGTAGTACAGTCTTCAAAATTTCAAAGTAAATTGCGTTTGGCCTTATTAACATAAATATTATCAAATATTTCTTGAGCTGATGTTGATGAGTCAGAATCGGTAGAGACAGAATCATCTACTTCAAAACATAGAAGACGCAAAAATTTGAATTTTATATGTATTTATTTTTTTATCTTCTTTGATATCAGTTCAAGTGGTTGTTCAGAATGTTCAATTAGCTGTTGGTTATTCTTCCCTAAAGTTGTATCTATTTCCTTACAATTAACATTTTCACTAGTAGATTTAACGTAGGTTTTTCATTTTTTGTATTTGCGTTTGAATTTTTATAATTTTTTTAAAGCCAAACCATATTTTTCAGCAATTTATCTTGTAGATAAATTGTTGGATACATCTTGTACAGCTTCGATCGCTTTTTGCAAATTTTCTATGCTATATTGAACTTTTGGAGTCTTTGGCATACTGAAAATGAAACATTAAAAGCCATTTCAATATTTATTATGCCTGTAAATTGCAAAACAAGTCTAGCAATGAGCAACTTAAACACTGCTACTGCACGGTGGCAACACTCTAATAATAATTGCCCTGGGCAATAACTATACATTAACATATGGCAATAACTGAAGTGATGGTGGGCAATAACTAAAAATATACAGATTTACGTGCAGTGATTACCCACCGTTAAAATGACCGTTAGAAATCAAATTTTATCAGTTATTTTCATTGATAATGAAGAAAACACTTATAATTTCATCATGACTATACACCATTAGTTGAATATTAAATAACTTGGAAAAAAAATTAACCTCTAAGCAAGTAATTCCTTAGTAAAATTGTTAAAGTCTTTACCTGTTTGAGTAACATTTTCACCCGTCTTGACAAAATCCGCCATAACTGTTTTTTTTAGTGTTTCCTGTTGTAAATTTTAAATCTACTGTACATTAATCACGGAGCCATCTACTTAGTAAATTCAAATCTAACTAGAGTGATTCAAAGTCAGCACCTGACAATATTATTCTTAAAGCGGGCAATCACTACCAGTGGGCAATAACTCTCTGGTTTACCCTATAATGTTTTATAAATTACCCGCCAGCGATGACGCCCGTCTGCATGGAGCGCAGCCCGAACCTCTTCTCGATGGTGGTGATGACGACGTTCACGAACCCGTTCACCACCATACCTGCAACAAACATAGGTACCATCACATACATTATTCTATCAAGTGGACTGTGACTTCATGAAATGATTGAAGAAGTCTTACACCCTTTTTGCCCTTCTTCTGTCCTGACAAAAAAAAGAACCTGTAGTTTTTTGAAATTAGTGAACAAGTTTTAATTGAACCTACGACCTTTTTTCTTGGTTGGAAGGCTACTGTTCTGGGATCGAGAGGTGATACCTACTTAAATTATTCCCATATGAAACAGTTGATTTTTATAAGTTTCAAGTTTTAAATAACTTTGATATAATAGCATGTTAAATGTATAAATATTATTGTTTTTTTCAGAGCACCTGTAGAAATAATTTAACATTTCTTGCACTGTAATTAGTCTTGAAGCGCTTTAGCCAGTATACCAGTTATTCTGTTAGCTTATAATATGTTTGGAATAAATAAATTGTTCAGCTAGTCATACTATAATATTACCAGCGGAGAAAATCTTAAATTATAATGCATTTATTCATTGCTGCAGGTTGTTGTACATGGATCTAACATGATCCCTTGGAAGGCACTGCATAAAATACATATTTAAAACATTAACATTCGTGTCTTGTATAAAATTTAAGCATTAAATTGGACATCAGTAATTGGATACAATAAAATATATTGGAATTATAATAATTAGAAGGTAATTTCTGAATAGTAATGCCAGGTCAGTTCGAATAAATGAATATCATTATTTGTATTCATCAGGTATCTAGTTGTTATATATGTTTAACTAGTTTAAAGTGGATTGAATGGATTTTAACTTCACAATAATAAAGTTTAATCCTCATCCTCGACCAATATTAACTGGAATGAAGGCTCAGTTATTGCACAAAAATATCCTCGCTTGACAGCCATTAAAATTGCACTGCTCGATGGACGGACAGCCGATCCGACCGAAATAGAACCCACACGTCGCTCTGTGTTAGTTTTGGACGAAAGCTCATTTTAAAAGCACAGTTAAAGTTTATTTTCGGTATTAAAATGAGCAGGTCATTTACTCTTCATGATAATACTTAGTCATGAAAGTCAATTATTTTCAACGAAGCTTTCGGAAAGCTCACGTCCAAATATGTAGAGCTATTTACTATGAGAGTTAATTTTATAGTCATTTTTACAAAAACTGATAATGGGGATGTTGCCTGGGTCAAAAAGCAAGAGTTTTAATTAGTCCGTCAGTTAACTTATCAAAAAATACTCTACACGTATTTTTCACTTTTTCAAACTAATGAAAATTTAAAGAGATAAAGCGCCCCAAAGTTCATAAGAAGAGGCCCGTGACGTCAACGCTTGCTTAAAAATGCCGCACGTTGTGACGTCGTGCGCAACTTCAACGCACCATAACTATGTAATTATTTGTTAGATTGACAAATAAAAATATATGTGTCCAATATTTTTTGATATTAAACATTACGGACTAAAAAAATTTTTTTAGGCAACTAGCCTATTATGTTAACTAACCAGAGATTGAAAAATCGGCCCAACTACAAATTATTTCCACCAACAAGGTGGACCTCTTAAAGACAGCAGGAAGGCGCTGGATGCAGGCCGCTACAAAAGTACAAACCGGCCAATTTGGAAATCATTGGGGGAAGCCTATGTCCAGCAGTGTATTTAATTGATATTATGACATTGGCATTTTACAGGCGTAATAAACATTACATCCTTATAATTATGCAGATTTATAATTTGAAACGATAAAATCTGATCAATTCCAATACTGTGTTTACGTCATTAAGGCACAATGAGGGAGCTACACCGTGAAATGACTTCCGGTAAACACAAGGTCGATCATCTGAAACAGATCAGCCATTATTGTACTTCCGATTTCGATTTGGAACCGAAGAACAACAAATAAAAGTAACAATTTAATGATACCTACATTTTGGTGACGCATTTTTGTCCAAGAAGATGAAAGTTATTTATATTATGTGAATAATCTCAATAAGAAATATAAAACAACACAAATTGGCCTGAATTCTAAATTGAGTCTTAGCGACGAAGATGAGCATAATCAAGTAATCAAGGCAAAAATCTTAATTCAGGAACCGGGCCATCGAATTTGATTTGATATACTCGTACATAGATGCAATGATACTGTAAAACAGCAAAAAATCTCAAAGATAAACAACACTTTGCCTCAATATCTAAACAGAAGCTCGTCTCTATTCATGGTTTCAAATAAATTCCATTAGGCCGGCGCGAGGTAGACAAATAAAGCGGGAACACTCGCGGGCCAAACTTATGCCGCGTCACGCATCCCCGAAATTGGAAGCTTGGGGCACACTGAGAGGCTTACAAGTGCTTCAAATGGGTAAAATTATAAAAAAAAACCGTAAAATGTTATTTTTCGGACGAGGTAGAGCGACGACGGAATGAAAAAAGAAAGCCCGGTTAGTTTTTTTATTGTTTTATTGTATAGCTTTATGCTGACGACAACTCTATTGCAGTTGTCGACCGCGTATAATTTGATATACTTGATAATCTATTTAATAAAGTTTATTACCGTATCGTACCTATTATTTTACTTATTACAGTACCTACCTACATCTACAGGTAGAGTATCCTACCCCCTTTAGGTTCTACTTTAGTTATTTCAGTTGCCATTTTAATTTCTTTTGCCAACGGCTGCGTATAAAGGGAATTTAAATTTATATTTTTTGCTAAAAGATCTATGAAAACTATTTATTTCCACTGACAACGGCAACAGGAAATTATTTACATTCCTGCATCGGATGGATTAATACTTAATTAACGTCTAATAAAGAACATCGGCCACATCATACATTTCTTACAATTTAATGAGCATTGTTACGTAGTAATAATTTTGTTTTTTAACCGGAACCGGTCTAGCGGCCATGGGGCATAGACACGGAGGAGGTCATCGCCTTCCTTATGGGTTCATTACAAATTCCGCAGTTAAGTATGTGAGGAATGCCGCGGTATGGCAAATCGTTGCACAGACCATAAAGAGCAATATCCGTATACCTACTACTTAAATGAATGTGTGGCTGGCCGGCTGTGGTGATTGACGAGAAACGTTTTTTATGAAACAAAAGAAAAATAAATTAACTTTTTAATCTGACATAGAGAATTAATTTTACAGATACAGAACCGTCCTTACATTAACTAATAAGAGTAAATTATAACTCAATTATGGTAAATTTAAACCTACTCTAAGGACATAACATACTTCTTTATATGGCTGTGAAAACCGTATGAAAATTAGTTTTCTATTCCAGAACTAAACGTTCAAAAAAACGCAGCAAGAACTTTTTAAAACAACATTGATTTTTAAAGTATTTTATTACTTAGACATAAAAAGAATAGAAATTGTTTATTTGGTATTAATAATTACCTAAGTTGTAGGATTAATTGTAATTTATACGCGATTATCAGACATTTTAGTCGCAAAATCTTATTTACAAAAAGCGAAGACTGAAAATTCATGTTTTATTAATATCTATTACCACGTAAAAGTTAGTTAGACGTAAATAAATACAAAAAAGTAATCAAGTGCAAGTAATAAAGCGAATAATTTATCGCCCGCGTTTACGCATTTATTAAACCAATAATTATTTCGTATACTACATATTTAACATGACAGCTAATAATATTAATTATGAAGGTAGCGATAAATCAAACTTCAATTAGTACAAAATTAATTAGGAGGATGAAACAATGGTCGTTTGTTTTTCGTGGAAATTTTCGCAAACAATATACGATCGCGTGCTGATCCTGATATCAATGAGGTATCACTTTCTACCACCAGGGCGGCGCCACTTCGGCGGAAAGTTTTTCTTACTTTATATTTTCGATTTGGTTTATCATGATCCCTTTTAGCGCGAAATCTAGATTTTATGGACCTTAGCTACACTATACTCTTTATAAAGAGAGCTGCGTAACCCAACGGTTTTGTATTTAATAATGTTAAACCACAATAAACCTGTTAGATACAATGAGAACTTTCGACTCTAGTTTTTGGACTTTGGACCGTCTTTAATTAATGAATACGAGTAAGAGTAAATACTTTACTTTGTATTTCTATGTTACGATTCATGGGTCAAAACTTGTAATCTAACTATGAATTTCTTACAGCCACTTTCGTCTTTGGTCAACTTCAATACTTACTTACTATTTTAAGCTTTAATTTATTGTAAATCACTAATCATGTCAGCAATCAAGTTTTAGGATTTTAATAAAAATCAATTTATTTCCTGATATTTATCAATTTGCAATTGATCGAATCGATCAATAAAAAATTAAAATCGCTAAATGTGTTGTCAAGCGCTGAACCAATTCGTAGATATTTTTTTCGAAGTATTCGTTGAAGTTCGAAGAAGGTTCATGAAAAGAAAATTTTGAAAAGTTTCCCGGAAACATTTCAAATACGGGAAAAGCTGAATGTCCTTTTTCTATAGGTTACGAATTTCTAAATATTTTCAAATAACAGGAAAATCTTTGTCGGGTTACTTAGTGATAAATAAAAAAGTTATTTTAAAAAATCCTCTCTCTATTTTTATACAGTGCTCGTGTACGCCTCGGCCCTATAATTTTGCGAGATTTGTTTAAGCAGCCTTTTTGTTATTAGCCGCCGATGATTAATAGCCTCGAGTCTGCCGCATCACGTGCTATACACCCAACAATAATGGATGTACAAACACCTTTTAAAACTTTTCATTGTTCACTTTACAATGGCAGAAAGCAGCTTCTCATCTGAGCTGAAAAACTCTTTGGTGAGACCCTGATGCCCGTTTTCACCATCAATCCCTAATTTTTAAGTGACCCCTATGATAACATTTAACAGACATTTTTTTTCATAGGGGTAACTTAAAAATTAGAGATTGATGGTGAAAATAGGCATGAGACTTGCAGAGAAACAATTAGGTTACAATTCTGGGATGAGATGAAAAGCTAGGGACGCGGTAGTGTGAGAATGGTTCAAAAACGTTTCCAATCAATTGACATATTTTTTACGA